AGGCAGTTTCGCACGTGGTTCATTACTGAAGATGTTGCCCCCAGTGACATCTTATGAAACACTGAAAACAACAGGCCCACTCTGTAACTCTGCTTAATGCTGGATGATAGAACCACATTCCTTTCCACACAGCTAAGGCTTTGAAAGTTTTTGCCAATACCAAGAACTGATTTTGCTTTCCATTTCAGAGAACTCAAAGTATCATATGGGCACTTTTTTCAAAAAGGTTACTGTCCCCAGTCCCATACCAAGCAAGGTTACTGTTTGTTTATTACAGACTCACTGTATCCCTGCTTTAGCCTGGGGCTGCCCAAATTCCTAAACATGGAGGAGTTTGCCTTCATTATTGCATTTCTTAAGTAACTTAATATCTCACTTGTAACCAAGCAACCTGTCAGTTCGTCTAACCACAGAGCTCAATGAAATGAATGTGGTGATAACCAGCAGGTATGTGGTAACCCGGGACCAGGACTGGGAGCCTTTGCTTTAGCCATTAGAAAAACAACCTTGAGAGATCTGCCATTTTTTCTGGGAATTTAACCCCGCTTGTGTTGGAAATGGTTGGGGTGAACGCGACTCTAGACTTCAGCTTCGTGGAAAATGGCAGCAATCAGGCTGGCCTGTGGGCACCTGCCCATGGGAGCCTACCTTAAATTGAGGTCCAGGATGACCTGTCTCTTGTCCACCTCCTCCGTGTACGCCTTCACCCCAGTGACCCTGAGAGGCTACAGGACACAACACCAGTTTAAATCAAGACTTCCTTCCTCGCCCGTACAGCTCTCATCCTCTGTGCGTCTGCGCTTTCCTAAAACAGCGCTGGTCAGCCTTATCCTTTCCGCCAGCTGGCAGCTCCCTAGCAGATCGCTCTTTACTCCAGCTAATCCCTAATTATTCAAGCGATCTTCAGACAAATAAGCAATTACGGCTCAATTCAGTAATTTATTGGAAAGTTCACAGTATTGTATTGATATCAAAAAGTACCACCAAGGTTCTGTCCTAGTCAGTTATTGCAAGTGGGTACTTATGCAAAAAGCAATTTCTAAAAACCCTTAATGAGCTAATGCTCAACATTTGAAATGCCTACTGTATCTGAAAAATCTTCTTATTCTCTTAAGCACCTAAAACAGGGCTGCACAACTGCTCAAAGGCAGTACACCAAGTTTTTATAAGATCCAAAACCCTTCAGGTACACCATCACATAAAGGTGTATCAAATGCACACATACATCAATCCTAAAGAAACACTCCCCTACCTTCTGCCCAAAGTGGACCTTTGTAAAAGTGAAGGTTTTAAGGTGTGGACTGGATGCTCTGATCGACGGCTGGATTTTTTCCTTCAATAACTTTTCCATATAAATTCCAAAGAAAGGCCAGGCCTGCTGCAGTACCTGTGAAGACAAGATGGGCTGGATCTGTGCTCTGCTGTTTCAATTACTGTGCCAGTGGTCCCACAGATGAAGCCCCAAAAACAAATGGCAAAGGGAAGTAAAAATAAAATTCTAATACACTTGGTCCTTTGTTGAAAGCCTTATTAATGCATTCGTTGTGGATCTGCAATGGAACTCGTGATGCAACACTATGCGAGGCACCAGACAGCCCGGACAGCAAAAAACAGAAACTGAAAATCTTACAAGTGGCTGCAAAAAAGTACGTTAAACTGTCTGAAAGCTACATCACCTCCCAGCCAGGACGGGGGGAACAAAGTAAAAGAGCTGTCTTTGTGTTAAGATTACAATTCACTAGGTGAGATGCTCTGCTCAAGGCTATAAGAGATATTTCTTCTCCTATTTATTCCTTTGTCTCTTATTTCTGTTCCCTTTCTCCTTTTCAGCTGTAATTCTATGTGCAGCTCTGTTTATTGTCCAGGCCATGGCCCGTTTTTCATGCAACACGGACCTTTGCGCAGGATTTTCTTGTCCTTGGGCTGCACATGGAATTGTATTTCTGGAACAAAAAACAAAGGAACAACAAAACTAGAAGTACCTTGTTCAGCCAGTCAGCCCTTTCAACATCTGGAAAGTTGACCTGCAAGAGCACAGAAAGAAAATGCAGGAATTATTAGCGCCCAAGACCTGGGGTGGGACTGAAGATGAGTCTGTGGTGTCCGTGGTCTGCCCAGCAAGACCCCTTTTCTTCTGGGCCGAGGGACACATTTAGCCCGCTCTGCTCTGCCTGCACGACACAGGGCAACAGCCCAAGGGGTGCATGATGGGAAGTGACCCACCCAACAGGGTAGGAGGACCAGAATAATCACTGGCAATGTGAAAACACCAGCCTGAAGGAGCTGTGATGGACTTGATCGACGCCACTGGATTCAGGGAACACTTTGCCCTGTTTTATTTTGTCGTGCTCCAAAATGTCTTTGCTTTAGGCCATCAGAGCAAGTCAAAAGACAGTCAAGACAGGCCAAGGGATACGCGCTGGGAATCTTTCATATGCAAAAAGTTATCCTGGTCAAAGAATGACTTTAACCACAGGCATCTGTGAAGCAAAAGTACAGTACATGACCACTCAAAAATCATGAATTATAATCTTCAACAACCAGAACAATGACCCCTCGTTAAAAAATTGTGCCAGCACCTCAAATCTAAAGAGCATTCCATCTTATTCACTAACCCAGAGTTTTTGCTTCGTACATGTTCTGCATACCTGTATTGTTCACGTGATGAACTCAGGCTGTCTGGGAGAGGCCAGAGGGTGTGGACAAGAATGACAGAATAGAAGGATTCATGTTCACAGTAGACTCCTACTGCATGAGTAACTCCTAATGTCACCCCGACATAAACGTGCACACAAGCACGATCAGAAAACCACTTATTCCTAGCAAGAGAAGCAGCCACCCAAGGCCTGTCGTGGGAGTATGGGGCTGCGGGGCAAGACTTGACCATCCTGGGTGAGGCACCAGTCCATTAAAGGGCTAACCTCAATTACCAGCATGCTTACTGCCCCCTCCCCCCTCAAGGTGGGAAAAGACTGGAGCTCCCAGAGCAAAACAGAATCTAGACCAAGGGATGTTAAGTCAAAACTGTACAATGTGCTGAAAAAAAACGAACCCTGCTCGTCGACTACTCGACTGCTAGAGACGACTACCTGCTACAAGCACTCACAGTCCTCAAAGTGCCTGACAAAGTCGGGCCGGCGGACTTCAGAATCAACAGTGAAACAGGAACCAGAGGGCACAGGTAGAACTGACATGTAAAACAGGAAAACAGGAGGCGCTTCCTCATCCAAAGGCTCATGGGGGCTTGGAACAAGCTGCCCATTCAGCCCGGGCTTCTCTCAGGAAACACCTCGGTGAGATCCTTTGATCGATTAGCTACTGAATGCCGAACAGGCCTGATGAGCTCAATGCGTTCTTCTAGTTCCTAATCTTTCCCGAGTTAAGAAAACCTTGCGGACTCCGGATGAACCAGCCAGCGCCACACAGCAGGCACACCAGGGCAGGATCAAACCCAGGACCCCGACACTGTGAGGCAGCAGCACTGACCACACCGACCCCGGTTTCAACTTGTTTTTAAAAAAGCCAGTGTTGTTTATTTAGGTCTAATTTAGCTTCAGGTCATTTAAAACTACACTTTCCAAGATATAAGATCCTAGTTAATCAGTTTAATATTCCCAAGTAGGGAAAAAAGTAATAAAACCGAACACCTTTTTTATTATATTGTTAGACAGGTACCTCAGCATATTTGGGAAGTGAGATCTGCAGGTGCGATGATTGGCCAATTCTAAACAGTACATCCCTTGACGATTCTTCCCAGGAGCTATTTCCAGCTGAAGGAAGGGCTGAGCTCAGCTAGCTGACACAACACACAGAGCTGCTGTACAAACATTCAGCTTTCGCTGGGAGAAAGAAAAAATTTGTGACCTCTCCGACGTGCCAGTCCGACAGACACCGTAGGCACACATAACAAATCAAAACGTGTTAATATCAAGCACGAAAAAAAGTAACAAGCCCGGAATGACATGTCTTTGCCTCAGTTTAAACAGGAGATCGCAAAGTGACACATCTAACCTCAACGCCCCAGGTCACGAGTAAGAGTTCCATCGACAGACCAGAGCTTTGTCCGGAGCCGCCGTTTTGATCTCCTGATAGGACAAATTATAAACAAGTCCCCGAGGTACGGCACTGTGCGCAAACTCTCTGCAACGAGATCTAGGCTCTCTCGCGCAAGGCGTTCCCATAGCAACACACACCCCCACACCCTCTGTGCTCCAGCAGCCCGATTCTAAAACCATCCACACGCAGCCAATTACAATGACAATGGCCTACCAGTGTTTAAACCGCAAGGACCTTGTGAGAACGCCATGAGAATTACTGGTATGTTCCGAGGTATGCGGCGCCGGCCAGCCCAGTAGAGGAAGAGAAAAATGTTGAAACCGTTCATCGCCCTAGAGCAGTGGTCCCCAGTCCTAGACCTGGTGACCTGCGCACCTGCCGAGCCCTCAGTGGCACAACCAAACCCTCCAGGGTTTCTACTGTTCGTCAAATTTAAACTGTTTGTTCCCAGCTCTTCAACTGTTTCATTTTGTAAGTGAAATAGCGTTCCAAACTCGCGACTACAAACAAAACGCAAATATTCCAATGAAGCAACTTCTCAGACCGAGTAAGGTGGGCTGGAATGAAAACCAGCAGGTGTGTGTGGGTCACCAGAACCAGGACTGGGAACCACTGTCCTGAAGAGAGTCGCTGTATGGCTGTAGCGCAAGCTCTCTGTCCCAGACAGGGAGACAGCAGGGGTCTCTTCGCCTAATTGACTTAGTTTAACTTTTGCTTGCCATCGGCTCATACAACAAACTTCAAGTTAACCCATAAACCATCGAAGTTAAAACATTCTTAATAAGTGATCATCATTGTTTTTTTAAAAAGCTTGATGATGTCCGCCAAAGGGTTATTGAAGCAATTAGGAATTCAAGATGATCCCCAGAGACCCTGGGATTTGCAAGAGATTAAAAACCCGGCAGGACATCCTTCAATTAAAATGTTGCAAATATGCAAGGAATTGCAAAAATGTTTTTCTAGCCCAGGTCAGGAATGCTGAAACCTGTCAGCGATATACGTGTCAGTCAAGCCAGCGAGATCCAGCGGGGTGTAACTGATCAAACCGAGCAACTGTAAGTAACGAAGAAGCTGCAACACAAGGTTTTATTGCGACACGCTTCTGACTTGCACTGTAAACTTCAGAAACACAAGGCCAAGATCTATTTTCTCCCAGTCACAGACTGCGGCGTCACATCGCCCCAGTAAAACAGTCCCGGGCGCTGGAGCCAGCCAGGGGACAGACTCTTGGCTTATTACTTTGAAGAGAGAATCTGGAACGAAAGTAAAGAGGAGCTCTCAAGAGAGCACAAAGCTCGAACAGCCTCATTCTCCTGAGGATCAAGGAGCAATCACTGGTACTGTGAGCAAAGCTCTTCTGGATGGCTAAAGCATGTTTAAAAAACTGCTATATATTAAAAGTAGTAACGGGTGGGTATGAATCTCTAACCTGACAGTGCTTTCATTGCTGAATACTTTACTTTTTAGGTACAGAAGAAATTATTTTCAAAATTCTCCAGAGGTCCAGAGCACCAAGCATAATGTGGAACACGACCAGCCCTCATGTGATTTAAGGGATAAGCGACACTGCGTTCGGTTTCCACGTGTTCAGTTCAGTCGGAAGGGCCGTTTCTGTCATTGTGACGTCTCCCATCTGAGGTCTCTTGAGCTGGTGAACCACAGACTTGATGAGATCTGTGGCAATCTGATTTCATCCCGGAGGAACTTCCTGTCACAGTCTTCAGCCTGGCTTAAGACAACAGAGCCTATGGTATTGAAAGTATTCTACATCTGAAGTCTTCAGGAACGTACAGTTGATGTTTTCTCAGCAGGATAGTGAGGAGAGAATTCTCATGTTATTAATAAAAGACACTGGACATTTAACATTAAAAACTAAATTATTTAAGTTGCAACTTCTTATTTTCCAATGAATGCAAAATAATTGAAAATCTACAAATACACTAGTCACACGCTAGCCCACTCTGGACTCCTACTTCATATTTCAGTGACGCCCAATCAATAAAAAACGCCACATTAAACCTAGAAACTGATTACTGAGGACCAAGTATCATGTTCCTGGACAGATCACCAATACATATGTTAATACAATTATCTGAATTAAAAAAAAAGATAGCCCTGCTCTGGAATCAGTCCAGAGAAGAGCAACATGCATTCCAGGCCTACAAGGAGTCTGCAACACTGATAGACTGGAGGAACTGAACCTTTTCATACAAGGGCACCTCAGACAAGTGCTCCAAATCCTTAAAAGCACCAGCAAAGTCAACCCAGCAGGTGTCTTCAAAATCAACAGCAAAACACAAAACACAGGGCATCCGTGGAAAGGTTCACTGTATCTAAAAATATATTAAGGAACGAGTAATAGGTTTATTCCATGCTGAAAAGAGAAGAAAGAAAACACAACGTTTCAGCTGTGGAGCCTTCTTCGGGTGTGATGTGTTTTCTTTCTTCTCTTTTCAGCAGGAATAAACCGATTTCCCTGTTCCTCTGCAGCCTACGCATGCTGACGCAGCTCCCCACCTGAACTGTTTTCACAGGTAGAACTTACTGAAGCTGTCCCACTTTTGCCATGGAGTGCTGCAGTTGCAGGCAAACCGGCAAAAACATTCAACTTTTCATCTGAATAAGTACTGAACTTGCACCTTGGGGACAATCCAACTTAAGTTCAGTACAGGAATCCCACTGGAATTGCAGCTTTGCTCATTGAGTAGTTATTTCCAGCACTACAAGTTAATTTACTAATAGCAGTTCTATGACGCAAGTCAGTAAGCTGTCCATTTCCCCCATATAATCAGCACATTTTGTCTGTCCCTGAAATGCTTTTTATTCACAGCCTACATTTCTCCCTGAGCAATAGCTTTTGCTTCCCTAATAGCAACTAAAATGTAAGGAACAAAACATGACAACTTTATCAAGAGTCAAAACCATACAGTATCTCATGAGCATCTTTCTCAAAGTGCAGGACATGTCAACTCCCACAGTGCACTGCTAGCTTGCCTAATATGTACTGTATGTGTTACTGGGCTGTTTGATGTGCAGAATGGAAGCTACTTGCCAAAATGTCAAATGAGAATAGGAGGCACTTCTTTACCCAAAGGGTTGTGGGAGAGTGGAACAAGCTGCCCTGCCATGTGGCTGAACCCCAGCTTCTTTCAAGAAACACCTGGATGAGGTCCTCAGGTCAATCAGCCACTGACTACAGAATGGGCCAGAACGTCTGAAGGGTTGTATCCTTTCTCCCCCAACCCAAAAAGTAATTTCTTATCTGGTGTTCGCGGTTTTGTTTTCACCCTCACAGCTAACTGACGAGTGGGCGAGCTGCACGCAGCCAGCAGGTTTGGACGAGGAAGGACAACTTGGCAGAGAAACTCAACCAACTACCTGCTGCAGTCAGTGGCAAGAGTAAAGCAGCCAGCCACCTCAGCGAAGACGAGCGCGCTACCGAGCAAGAGCCACCTTCTGAGTCAAGGGCAACTGTCTCCTTTTTCAACACTGACGGACACAGACTCTTTTAACAGGACATATTTTGCAATTCCAGCATTATTGTCTTCAGCTAACCACAGTTAAATTTATTGCATGCTAGAATATCTTTTCATTCTTTGCAAGAAACCTCAGTGTGAGACTTTGTGTACCTTGTAAATTGTCCAAGATTACAGAACTTGCTAAGCAAATAAATTCATAACAACTTCTTTCCTTACTGAAATTGAAAAAAATACCCGAAAGGCTATTTCACGCAAAGCTATTGCTACCCAGAGATTAGGCTGATTAACATTTCTTCAGTTGTACTCCTGTTTTACTGCTTTACAGCTCTGTAACTTGAATGGGTGGTGCTCTGTTCAGGATTCTCAGTACTGACTGTCCTTTACAAAGTATTCTACAAAGAACCTTTAATATGATAAGCTACCCGCTACCACAGATACCTGCCATAATACTCCCTCTTAGAATAAGAATTAGAATTTGCACCTTAAACCCTGCATCTTGTTACCAGTTCAGGAAACAACAGACCACTCAATGCTATTTAAAAACTGGTTCTGCTTCTCGTCTGCGGGTTTGTCCAGAGTGGTCACTCCTGGCAGGGTGGCGTCGCGTCCGCAGCGAACAGCTGCCCATTCCACGGCAGACTGGAACAGAAACCTTAACGATCCGTCTTTAGCATGATAAACGAGAAACAAACGTCTCTTGATGGATCGGCTTTAGAACTCCCACTTCTTAGTGTCTCAAGAAACGACAGGAAAAGGCCAAGACCTTTTCACCAACACCTCAACACAGGTTCGTGAACAGTAATTTGTAATCTTTAACTTTACTGCTTCTTATATGGTGGAATTCAAGCCTTCTAAATAAAGTCTTACCAAGTACAGCTTTTCATTACAAATACTGTATAAGGATGGCTGATAGGAGATCTAAAACCCCTTATTTATCCACCATCCACAGTCACTCAATAAATAGTAATAATCTATTTTGTGATTATACAAAAATACCTGTTTGGGAGGTATTTCTTTGTAAAGACGCGATACTTCACAACCGGGCATCAGTCTCCTGTTTATCAGCTGAAGAAACTTTTTTTTAAATCTTATTAGGCTTATATCGATATCTTAACATTCCCACAGCAGCGTGCAAAAACCTGGAACAGGCTACTCAGCTATGTCATCGAAGCTTTTCTGGTTTCTTTCGAGAATCAGCTGGATGGGATTCCCAGAGTAATTAGCTGCTAACAGCAAACAGACCAGATTTGCTGAGAGGATAAAAACGAGAGGGGGTCATTCTAACACTCTAATGCAGGTGGTTTCAGCTAGCAAATCCTTGTGTCCACTCTTTCCTTCCCCTGCTGCATCAGCACTTGTTTACAAGAGCTGGTATTGGGAGGTGAAAGGATTGGCCGTTTCTTCCCCCAATTAAAACAACAGCAAAAACACAAGACTCAAATGTCTCGACAGATTAGAAGATCAGAGATAATCCAGCTCTTAATTAACCACTAAACCAACAATTCATGAGACAAATCGATCGATCTCAATGTTATACAATAAACTATTGTCGCCTGCCGTCTGCTCAACAAATATTGCTTTGTTGAGCTCTAATGTCTGGAGAGATTTGATTCACTTGCTGTTAATGCCACTGTTCTTATAACACCTACCACGCACACACACAACACTACTAGTATCGCAATTTTCTAAAAATGCCTCTGGGAGACCGTCCCGAACAGGGAGAGCTTTTTCAGTAGCGCACCAGCACGCAATCAGGACTCAGGTACTACATACCCAAGCGGGCATGTTCAACGCCTTCATCTCCTCGTTGATGACAAACCGCTCGTTCTCCAAAAAGTCGATAGCCGTATCCAGCCGGGTGCTCTTCACCTTCCTGTTCCTCCTCCACCACGTCCACAGCATCAGGCAGAGGAGGACCCAGCTGATGCTGAGCCCCAGGTAGCCCGTCAGGTACACGGGGAAGAGGAACACGAAAGCCCTCCCGAAGTACAGGAGGACCTCCATCAACATCTGGTTGACGGCGCTCGTGCTGTAGCTGGTGTCCTCGAGGCTCTCCGAACCCGCGTCGTCAGCTGCTGCCGGTTTCGGGGAGCCCCCCTGTGACGAGTCGGCGGGGCTCCGGGGACCCCCCGAGCCCGTCTCGGAGACGCCCCCGGATCCGCCGGCGGGGTGGCGCGGCGCGCCTCGGCTGGTCTCCAGCCGAGACATGTCCTGCCGCTCTCCTGCTCGCCTCAAGTTCACCCGAGGCCGTCAGACGGGTTGGGTTGCCGCGGATGCCGAGGCGGGGAACCCAGAGCCAAAACAACAACAAGAAGAACAACGACTCTTCCCAGAAAATTAAAAAAAAAACCCGACAAAACGTTTTAAGAAGTACGTTCTAAGTAGCGACGCACCGCCTTCCCCGTGAACCCCGAGCGGAATTCATGGTTTCTGCACTGTGATTTTCCTGCGCTGTACCGTTCCCCCGGCCGGAGTTGCACCTCTCTCCTTCGCCGACTCGAGATTTTAACTTTGCGACTTCCGTGTTTAGCAGCCCACACGCCTCTCCTCGCCGTCTCAGGTGATTATATACGACTCGCCCGGCCGTCGCCCTGGGATCCCGCGGAGCCTACAGTACCTGCAGAACAGGTACCGCTCAAGGCGAGGCGGTAACCACACGGCGTCTTTCGCTCGGCAGGGACTTAGCCGGCTGTGGACGTAACCTCACTCACTCACACTCACACACACAAAGCTCATTTTGTAGCTGAAGCGTACTGTACCTGCGACTACATGTATCACCCAAACAGCACCAACTGCGGTGAAATTGAACATATCTTCGTGACGCGAGACTTGGTGCAAGTAGGGCTGTTTGTGGGAGAAGCGCGGTGTTGGAAAATAAAAAGCGACACTGCGCTACCGGGCGGCCGTCTTGTGTTCATCAGCTCAAACTCACAGCACAGTTTTTAAATTTGTATTCCGCTTTATCGATGACAGAAATCCTCCGCGGTCGTGAAGTTTCATGCACATTTATTTTATTTTACTTATAAAGTACTGTCCTCTAACCCTAAGAATCCAGTCCGAAGTGCAGTTTCATCTATGGTTGGACTTTTACACATTTTGCATTGCAGGTATTTTATCTGCTACAATGGAGTCTCGCCTCAGGGTTGATATACCCGAGGTGGAGGAGCTATGAAATTCATTCTTCGACCTAGCCGCCTTCCCAGAAACGCTACACTCTAGACGCTCACTAATCTCTCAATGTTTATTTTATTGTTAATATACTCTATTTTACATCTAAAAAGACAACATTATTATCGATTTACTTTCTGTTTTGCTTCATTCCGCGGTTTTATTTTCACTGTTATTACTCAGTATGCAGTTGCTATGATACCCCCTAAATCCACTACTGCAGAATTCGATAAGTTTGATGAGCCCAAGAACGATTAACTGAAAGCACCAAGTCTGAGGATTTACGGGAAGAAGTTTTCGAGAACTTACTTTTTATTTTGCACCTTTATCGTTAATAAAATAGCTTTTTTTCTTTTAAGACTTTTGTTTTAACCCTTTACCTGAGGCATACGGCCCTCGATATCAGAAGGGATAAATGCCACCTTAGTCGATTGTTTAGCACGTACCACCTCCAATGGGAGTACCAATCTGTGGTTTGTGCAAACAGGTTAAGAATTATTGTCCTCTTTAATTCCACATCATTTCTTAAGCTTTTGTCAATCAATGTCTGTTTTTGTATGACCTCATTGTATCTGACTTCCTACCAGAGATGCAGTATAGATCTCTTAGCTCTTTGTATTCAGAACTGTTAACCAGGAACAGTCTTCCAAAACCTGAGTTGTACATGACTGTTGTGTTTCCGATAGCACCACATATTCAAGTATAAATACTCCTGCCTGAAATGCAGAAGTACTTACATTTGATGGAATGAGGCTTCCTTATTTTTGTACAATAAAGAAGTGCTCCATCTACGAATGTTTTACACACAAGAGTTGTGTGAGTCGTAAACAAGCTACTCAGCCATGTTTTCAAATCTGACTTCCTGGCTTCTGTTTGTAACTTTCCTTTGTGGTCCTATGTGCTTATTTTTCTGCAGCTCCATAATAAGCATATCAAGTGTGAGAGTACGGGTAAAGGTTTATTCCATGCTGAAAACAAAAGAGGAATGACGATTCGGCTGTGGAGCCTTCTTCGAGCATGAGAGTAACCTAGTTCAGGGAGTGGAGTGGGTATGAATATTCTACAGTCAGATCTGCAGTTTATGAATATGTACTTTGCAATACCTTGCTCTGGGCTCATTAGCAGGTCTTTCACACGTGCTTCTCCTCACAGGATGTAGAATAGATCTGATTGCACTGTCACTTTATTCCTATCTACACACTGGCACAACAAAGGCATCAGTGCAGGAACGGGCTAGCTTGCATTCTGGGAAACACTGGCCCTTATTGGTGCGATATAGCCTCCTGCAGCACTGCTGACGGGATTTCTACAGCACATTAGGCTAAGGAAAATTCCAAGATCCTAAAGGACATTTTAAAAGCTAATATGGGAAGCAAAGTAACTTGAACTAGAGGGAATAAGAGTTGGCATATACAGGGATCATGTCACTAAGATATATAGTATTCACTGGTTCTTAATGTGATCAGTGCTCCAGTGAAATTTCTACAAGTACATTTTTTTCTCCATGGTGTTTACCTTGTAGACTATAGAAAACCAGGTGTCTCCTGGAATCCATCAGCTCTATCATGGTCTAGAAACAGGACATATACATCTGGTCTGGATTTGCACAGAGCTATTGGCTTCAAAGGATACAGGATGTGATCTCACTTGTCTGAGCATCACTGGAACAATTTGATTAACAAATTCAGATGTTTTTCATCAGAGAGGCTTCTAAGGGTTCTCTTAACACTGGCTACCTAATATACTATGCAGGAAATAGGTAAACAAAAATGTCCTCTCACAAAAGACTGCTCCTGTTGTTTCTGGTAGTTTGTTTTTATGTCCCTGAGTGAGTGATTAATGCAATATGTAGTCCTCGGTGTGCTTCTGATCCTGAACCTTCAAGTTTCTAAGCATAGATTAAATATGCAGATGTAAATTATATGGATAACCCCCCCCCCCAATTTATTCATACTCCTTTCAAAATACACTAATAAGCACCTACTCTATTGAAAGCCACCCAGGGAACCTGACAAAGAACGTACACAATTGTATTGTGTTTAATACAGCAGAGAGCTCAAGTACGACTGGTAGAAGGAACATCAATATCTTGGATGATGGCATAAAGAAGAAGGAAAGACTGCCACCATGAGGAACATAAATGAACTGCAGACAGAGCAACTTGGAAGCAGCAAGCTCTTAGTTAAAAAGACGTTGAAATGTCTCAACACTTTGCTGACACAACCATTATAGTAATATTCAATTGTTACCTAACTTAAAATGGGTAAGCTATTTGCAATTGCAGGTATATATAGATATTTTTTTTAAACAATGAAGCCCTAGAACTATTATAACAACATTAGGAAGGTTCCAAATAAGAGGAGAAAATGTGGCCCGTCTGACCTCTTCGGTTGTTAGTAAAAAATTTGATCCCAAGATTTCATTCAGCGTTTGTTGAAAGAAGCCAGGCTATTGGTTTCCACAATGTTTATGGGCAGCTTGTTCCAGACTCCCACAACCATTTGTGTAAGAAGGTGCCTCTTGTTCTGTTTTAAATGAGGTTCGCTATACTTTGCTCTTGTTTCCTCTGGGTTTTCAAATTGGACGTTCACTGAGCTGACATTGATGATGCCTTTGAATACTCAAATCAGGTTCCCTTTTTCTTTTGTCTTCCCTGACTGAGACTAGGAAGTTTTTAGCCTTGGGCAGTGTAACACATTCCTTTAAGCCTGGGGAAGTATCTGGTCACTCGTGTCTGTACTGATTCCAGGATTGTTTCAAAGTGGTGACCATAATTGAAAACAATATTCTGAATGGGGTTTAATTCATTGTTTGTACAACTTTTATATACCATTCTTAATTTAAAATCTACACCTTCAACGATACAGCCTAACATTTTGTTTGTCTTTTTTGTTGCATCTCCACACTGTCTAGATGAAAAAGCCATCATAGGCACACTTGTCTTCAGGCAAAAGGCAAAGACTGGATGTAAAATCAAGAAATTAATACTACTTATTAAGATTAAGAAAGCTCAATTAAATACTGATTAATAGTACAGAAAAAATAATGAATGTTAATCCTTAAGAAGGGAATTTTTGACAACGATTTATTACACTGAGTTTGTCATAACGGAAGGATGTCTTTACAGCAGTCCTCCATTCAGCCACGAGATGGTGCTCTAACACAGACAAAAATTTCGTATATTTTTGGGTTTATATTTCCGTTGAATATGTATCTCCATAATCCCGTGTATCTAGGTGCACTACTATACAAGACAACACTTCAAAGTTACCCTTAAATGTGAAGACATGTATATTCACACATGCCACACCTTGTTGTTTAATTGCTGTGGGAAGTGTGGGGGAGTTTGACTAGTTGTTTCAAAATGACTGAAAGAGCTGTGGGTTGAGTAGCACTGGTATAAAGCACTTCAGTTTTGGAGGGCAACGTTAAAATCGTAGATTCTCCTAGAGACTATAAAACCAAATGGTGACTGCCAGTTTAACATACTGTAGGCAGCAGTACACCTTCCAGTGCACTCCACTGCAGGTCAAGTGCAACCAGCACCTTAACTGTTCTATTGATCACTGCTAATAATTAATTAAAGAAACAAGGAGTTGGTTACAAAACGCTCCAATGGAGTGCAAGCGTTTCAAACTGAATAGCCCTTATTCTACAGCATGCAATATGGCTATACAATAAATGTACTGTTCACTGCACATTAAGAAAAATAATTCATAATTTAATCACACTGTTGACACTTAACAACTGAATATACATTACTGAGCAGTTATATACAGATCATGTTAGAGCAGATATGTTGATATTTCAATTTTTGTGAGAAATAACGCTCCAGCTATAAAACTTAGTGAAAATACAGAATGTAATTTCAAAAGTACAGGTGGATGCTGCACATTGGTGGTGGTGGTGGAGGGGACACCCCATTACCTGTAAAGCGCTTTGAGTGGAGTGTCCAGAAAAGCGCTATATAAGTGTAAGCAATTATTATTATTATTATTATTATTAATACTAGACAGTAGACAATCATCAGTTCCCACTAGTACACCATTTTCAGTGACATCTAATATTTACAAACTGCTCCTATTGAGGGGGGCGCAGTGGGGTGTCAGTCAGTGCTGCTGTCTCACAGCTCTGGGGTCCTGTATTTGATTCGGGACGGGGGCACCTTTGGGGTGGAGCTTGCATGTTCTCTTTTGATCATGTGGGTTTTTGCCTGGTGTTCTGGTTTCCTCTGACCTTAGTCTTCTCGCTTCAAAGTTTTCTGCCATCTTTAAAGCGTGTGTGTGTGCACCCCGTTAACGATGGACACCCTGTCCAGGCTGTAGTCCCACCTTGTGCCCTGCACGTCCAGGACGGGCTCCGGATTGCCACAAACCCTTCCAGGAATAATAAGCAGTTTTCCGATAATGGATGGCTGTATTTGTTTTGTTCCATTACTTGGAATAGACATCTAATGAGATTATAGAAGTTTTTAAATAACAATGGATGTAAACTTATTTGTTTATGTGATTTTCCTTCTCTGAAGTTAACATTATGTCTTGCATTTAGTTTTAACAAACACACCGTATTTGTAGAATTAAAACCTATTTTAAATTAGGATCTAATCATTTATTTTCTGCTTCAAAATGTTTATAGCAAATTAAAAACAATATCAGCAAGAAAGAAAACAAGAACTAAGTTGATATAAAGTGTCATATTACATTGTGAAAACGTTTAATCTTGGATGAAATCTCTGCAACCAGTCTTTGCCAACGCCTTAATTTGACTTAGCCGTGCTTGAACTTTGATTCCAAGTTTATTGCTCTGAGATTTTAGATCATGCTCGAGCTGCTGTTCTCTTAATTCTCTAGAAAAAGCAAAAGAAAAGCATCAGTAACAATACATTGAAAACATTAATTATTTTACGTTTTGCAATAATATTCCCTCATTATTAAAACGTCCCGTTTTACTTAAGAACGCTAAGACTTGAATACTTAGTTGCAGACAATGGCAATCTAGATTAAGATCTTCATCAGTAAGGGTTTGGTTAACATCTTCCTTGAATATACTCACCTGGAAATCGGTCCACTGGCAGTTAACGTTGTCAGAACTGGAGTTTTGCTTTGGCTTGTAGGGCTTTAATGAGAATTGAAGTTCGAAGGAAATTCTGTCACATTTTCAGAAGCGTCAGCTCACAACAAAAGTTTAAAAAAGACTTAAAAAAATAGTTATAGTAGCAATATGTAGTATTACAGTATGTACTGTATTTTGAAATGAAAGTTTATAGAACAGAGTGAGAAAAAATAAGTTGAAACATATGCTTATCACGCTTACCTATCATCTCTTACTGATCTTTCCTTTAGGTGTGCTGGTGGGACGCTCTCGGTCAGTGGAAATTCAGCTTTAAGCATCTCCGGAGTCAGAATTACAACTGTATTTTCAGATCTGTGTCACAAATCAATAATTAAAACAATGATCAAGCTGACTTTCCAAAATAACACAAAACATTATTTCTGTAATTACCTTAAGATGATGAGCTGTATTTATCACAGCTTGCAAATGTGTCATTTGTGTATGGCATCAATGAAATGCAATATTATCTGAGTTATTCCTCAATTCTATTCTTTCATTAAATAAAAAAAACTCATATCCTTTCTTTCTTACTAAGCTATACATGCTATTCCAGCCTGAGCTGAATGCACACATCTATATGACTGGTCAGTTTTCTTACACTTCATCAATCACATCTTCTTGTAACTCTTCTGGCAAGCCCTGTAGAACAGGAGGAACCACCACAGGAAGCAAGTCATAGCTGAAGGGGTCTGACCTTAGAAAATAAATAAATAACGATTTTAATGATTCACTCAGAGGAGCTAGGCTGTTGTTATTCTGTAAAGCGCTTTGAGAAGCCACCTTTAAGGGCACTATATAAAATAAAGTTTATTATTCTTATTATTCTCTCAATGTCTAAATATATGTCTTTCTCAGGAAGGCTTTAATTTTCAATTGTTCTACTATCTGTAAATATCTGTTCTTATACATAAGGTATAGAAAATCTGTCAGTGAGGCACTGGAGGTGTCCTGATTTTCACAGAGGCTGCCAAAAATATACTGCACACAATCAAGAAGGCTCCTAGCTTGCTACATTTAATATAAACTGAGAATTAGACTATGGGCTGTTGTTCTATTTCACTTTGAATTTCTTCATAACATTTTGGCATCATTTCAACAAAACATAGTCCTGTGACCCAGGTTTCAAATAAAGTCCAGAGCGAGTCTCAAGCTGTAGAAATCCGATTGGAAAGCAGGACTGAAGCCCAGGCTAGCCTGTCACCTACTTTTAAAATGCCTTTCTTTGCCATTCACATACTGGGATCAATAAAAGTACCTGTATTGGGATTATCAGTATTAAGAACATAGCTTCCAGGAGCTGTAAGTCAGCTGTATTACAGCTGACTCACCTGCGGGGTGTCCAGGAGCTGGTCAGTGTGGGAGTGGTGGAGAGAGTACTGAGCGCTGCTGATGGGAACTTCTTCCAGGTCATCAAACCACGAATCACATCCTAGATTTAGCAAGAGCACAGACAATTGCTAGCTAAAGGCTTTTTACACATAACACACAAGTAAGTCCAAAGAAAATTACTTTGGCAACTTACAGTACATCTTAAAGGTATCTAGCCAAGTCGTATTAAACAGCTGCCAAGTAATACACAGAAAGAATATACTGTGCTCATAGTAAGACCTTAGGCTTCACTTAACTGGAATACTTTTCTAGAATTTGTATTTAGATTACTTTTTTAATGAGTCTTGCACTGAATCCACTTTGCTAACATAAGGATGGGTGTTAGTCATCACAGAATAATTAGTAGTAAGCTTGGCCTGTGTAAATTAAATTAAAAGTATTTATGAAACAGTTACATGAATATTTTTAAACAAATGTATTCCCCGTGACAACACTGTTTAATAATAATGTAGATTTTAGTTTATTTAACATTTACATTTACGGAATTACATATTCATAAGGAAAATTATGAATTTGCCACAGATGTGCTAAAGGCAAACCAGACAGATGTAAACATATTAGATTAAATTCCTTTCCATTGTTTCCATGTTCCATGTTTTTTTATTTATAAAGTAGCTTGACTTGACTTTATCCATGAAGTAGCACCATCATTAGTTCTGGTTATCGGAGTCTGTACCGTTTGGTCCAGGAATTTCTTCTGCGAGCTGGGAATGTGAACCCCTGGCATACTGTCCTTGGAGACAGCATACCTCGGGACTGGGCACAGGTGGAACTCCAGGTCGGTCTCCAGGTAGGGGAGAGGCTGTTTAAAAGCATAAAGCCCTGGAACAGGATTCTGCCAAAGGAATGAAGCAAAAGCAGGAATTCACATTTCATGCTGCAGTGAACAGCATAAAATCCAAGCACAGTGACCTACAGTACAGTAATGAAACGAATCGAGGCTCTGCAATGATATTGATCTGAACAGCAGTCAAACATGAGTGTCCTGCTGAATCAATATGAATCTGAGGACACTCCAGGCACACAAAAAAGCCATTATGAATCCTAGTTTGTAGTCTGTAAATATGCTGGGCTGTTTATACTTACAAAAATCTTGAGAGGGTGACACTCAGGGGCTTTTACTAAAGCAGAGGGTGCAGTGAAGGTGAATGGCGAAGACTCTCTTTGCTCTGAAACTGTATTTTGCTCTTCCTCTAGATTCACTACTGTAATTCCAGAAAAGGAATTGGCTACTGCTGGGATCAGTTCATCCTACAAAAAAAAAACAACATTTAAAACAAGAAAAACATGAACAAGCAGCTTGACAAGTACAGAAAAAGATCATTTCTGTTTTTTAAGAAAATACCGATTTTAAAATTATTTTGAAACTGAGATTACCACAAGCAGTATTATATATATATTATACTTTATACTTTGTTTATTCCACAACAGTCATTGTTATTGAAGGCTTGGGACCATGGTCAGAGTTTGAATGAAAAAGGTTAAAAGCATGCTGCATAATATAAACACTACATTTTCCCAAATATAAAATGCAACTTGCTTTTAACTGGAAAAGGAAAAACAGAAGAGCCGAAAGAGCCAGGCTCATGTCAACAATGTCATAAAATTATTTCTTGAAAGAAAACACACCCAGCATCAGAATTATAGTCTATGTTAGAGAGAAACTTTCTTTCCAATTCTTCCCAAGGGCAAAATATACATGGCTTCCTAACATTTCACAATATACAACATCTTTCTCAAGGGAGCATCTGTTTATACTAAAGTACTTATTTTCTCTTCTTGGTAGTTACCAAGTCAACAGAACACTTCTGAGTGAACAAATATATATATACAGTGCCTTGCAAAAGTATTCAGACCATTCCTATGGTGTTCATTTTGTCAAGTTACACAATGATGTATACACTCATCCATTTTTTAAACAGCTTTTTCCAGTTTGGGGTCGGGGGGTAGATGATATATACACATCTATATTTTTTTTAATGTATAAAATTATTGTTTTATACAATTCTTCAGTTTGAGCATTTGTGTTAATAATATGTGTAGCTCCTTTGTAACTACAGACTACCTGCTGAAAGGTGAATTTTTGTCCCATTCAGAACAAAATGTTTTTAACCTTGCCCAGCTGGATGATCAATTATTGATCATAACAATTAATTTAATCATTATCAAAGAGATGTTAATTGTCTTTGAAATAGCTTTATACTCTTCTCTTGGTCTGTGCCTTTATGCAGCTTTATCCCTGAGTTGTTTGAAAACTCTTTGATCTGTACAGTAAAACCTTTGCTTAGAATACATACCTGACTGAGGAACCTTACACACGTACTGTAGGTGGATTTATTCTGAAATAAGTGTTAACCACTTCTGTTGCACATAGTCAGAGGCTACTGTACTATGTGGCTTGTCAATTAAATTTGTTTTAAAACTGTGCAAGGATCTGAATGCTTTCGCAAAGCACTGTATATTGATAAATTAAGGGACAATGAGTTAAATATATATATTTGGTTTTTATTCAGTGCTTATGTTTGATTATTGCAATAAATTAAATGGTGCACAGCCAAAGGGATTTTACAAAATGTTCTATTCACTTTTTGTTCCACAACAGATTTGTCCAGTAAATTGTTGCCCCTCACAGCTTGACGTACTAGAGGCCTAACAGGACAAGCCAAACTCTCACCTCCTCTTTGCAGGGGTATCAGGAGAATGGGCAGTGATACGTGTCTGAGTTAACCCAGAACAAATCATTTATGCTATAGATCTTGTGTTTATAAATAGGTTTTCAAGAAAAGGCATGTTTTTCATCTAAAACATCTTGTGGCACTTATGAAATTACAACAACACAAAAGGGGTGTTCTCAGACCTTCTTGATCAATATCTCACATGCTGCAATTTACCTCAGCACCTGACCTCAGTGGTCTTGCCAGGGTTTGGGGTAAATAGCTTGATGACACATGAAATACTGAAACTGGCTGATATCCCATCTGTTTGTAATGCTGAGGAACCTAGGTTTAAAAAACACAAACCTCAATTGCCAAGACAAGTCAGAAACCTACAATGTTTCATTACAAATACATTGCATCACAATCAAAAATATTGAGGTGATATCAAACATGAATCCGAGGTTATGGGGAGGACAAAGATTATATAATCGAGAATCATTGCCTGGCAGAGTCTTAACACAAAGAGATATACAACGTAATTTAAAGCTACAAAACATCAAGAAGATGTTAATTACATGCTGAAAAGTAAGAAAAACAACAAAATTCTACTTATGACCTCTTTTCAAGAAACTCAGGAGCACTCTACTAAGTAGTGTATGATATACAAAACAGAAAGGGACAGCAAAAATGTTGAGAGCTGTAGAAATGGACCAGAGCAGTGAGCTCCAATAACGTGGTGCTGCACACCAGAAGGCAGCAATCAGCTAACAGCGTTAACAGTTAACAGTTAACAAACTGCAAAATTGTGGAAATCCTGAACACTATTTAGTACATAACGCGTTATAGCACTCTAATCTTGATGAAAGGGAGAATGAATTCAACATTTTTAGCTTAGATGGGCAGACCAAGCATTGTTACATAGCTGGTATAAAGATGCTTTGTGATTTTTTTTAATGTATAGTTCAGACAACAACACGGGGTCAAAGGTAACACTAAGGTTTCTAACTTCCATGGGGGGCTGATTTCAATACTGCCAACAACAATGAAGTTACTGACTTCACAAAGAAGATGCTGTCTCACAGTGTACATCTAAAACCCTTCAATGAACACACAAGTTTCAGACCTTTAGCTTGAAGATTGGAATTTCTGGTTTAATGCTGATATCAACTGGCTTCACAGGAACTTCTCCAAGGGCATGAGCAGCCTAGAAAACACAAACACTGCCATCTGAATAAACTAAATATTTTCCAGTACCACCCATTCTTGTTACAGGTTTCAGTCTAAAATGGAAGGGTTTTGATTTGTCAAAGTTTCAGCACTTAAAACAATAACTGACAGCTCATTTGGTTCATGCTCTTTAAAGTAATGTACTATATAATGCATTTGTTTAGCTCAGGCTACTTACCAGGTGTTGTATGCATCTGTCTGAAATTTTCACACTAGAATACTTTCATAACATTGGCCACTTTTATCCTTATTAATGACTACTGAGAGAAAAGATGACATTCTTACCAAAACCTTTAATTAAAACTGCATACTGATACTGTATGACAATAAACAGATCGGAAAACAATGGCTACTGAGATTTTGTAAGTGGCCTTGGATAAGGATGTCTGCTAAACAAATAAATAAAAATTAAAATTGACTAATATTGCAAGAAAAAAAACGATCAGGCAAACACACATAGTTTCACACTAGATAACTAATTCCCAGATATTTAAAGGAATGTAAAGGATTTATAATTTTCTCTTCTCTCTTTTTACTAGCCAGCAGCCATATCACCCTGCAGCTCACAGCTGGTGACCCCACTGAAGCTCAGCAGTGTGAGCCTGGTTAGTACCTGAATGGGAGACTCTTGGGAAAACTAAGGTTGCTGCTGGAAGAGGTGTTAGTGGGGCCAGCAGGGGGCGCTCACCCTAATGCCACAGTATAGTGATGGAGGCACTATACTGTAAACAGGCGCCGTCCTTTGGATGAGACGTAAAATCAAGGTCCTGACTCTCTGTGGTCATTAAAAATCCCAGGGCGTTTCTTGAAAAGAGTAGGGGTGTAACCCCAGCGTCCTGGCCAAATTTCTTATTGGCCCTTACCAATCATGGCCTCCTAATAATCCCCATCTATGAATTGGCATCATTATTCTGTTCTCCTCCCCACTGAGAGCTGATGTGTGGTGAGTGCTCTGACGCACTATGGCTGCCATCGCATCATCCAGGTGGGGCTGCACACGGGTGGTGGTGGAGGGGAGTCCCCATTACCTGTAAAGCGCTTTGAGTGGAGTGTCCAGAAAAGTGTATATAAAGTGTATATATAAGTGATATATAAGTGTAAGCAATTATTTCCTCATGGCAAGAATGAAGAGAGACAACAGACAAGTTGTCAGACAAAGCCAGATCTGAACAATAAAAGTTATTAATTGTGACTTACAAGTTCATCCACCTGGTTAGGTGGTATATAAACAGGAAGTGTGAAGGGATGCAACTTGTCCAGAGAAAATTTCAGCGGGAATGATCTTTTTTCCTCCTCACCAATGCAAGACATCTTGTCCTCTAAGAAAAAAAAAAATACAGATTACGGGCGATCAAACTATGTTTCAGATCAAGAGCTAGTTTAATTTGAGATTAGTGAGATGCTTTACTACTACAGAGTACTGCATAGAGAAAAATGTACATTGTGGACAGACCTAATCAACCTCAAGGAATTTTATGATTCTCAAGGAGAACATAGTAAATTAGCAACAATTACACTTGGGGTCATATATATAGTATATACACCATGCAGCAGCCACTACACAATTCACCATGTAAAGGTTCAGAATGAAGCAAACCTCACCTGGGGTTGTCATAGACAGTCTCTTAATGTCCTCAATCAGCTTCTTCACATACACCAGCCTTTTATTCATGCGGCCAAGAATCAAGACCTGAAAAAAAGAGACTTTGTACAATATCTATTTTCAGCGCTCCATAGCACAGCCTTTCTTTGCTTCTGTGGTGTAAGTGCAATAGTGTAAAGTCTCTATACTGTTTTAAATACACATTGATTGAGAATTAATAAACACTTATTAAAATGGACATTAGCTACTCTAACTCTAATATTTGCCCCAGAAAATGTATGACACATATTCTACATTGTTATGCACTCCTCTAAAACAAAGAAAGTCTTAGTTTTGCTGCACAAACCCTTCAGTTTCACTGCTTACAATGTTATTTATAACACTAACTAAACAGTTCACGATGAGGCCAGAACTGGGATGACTATTCCCAAGCACTGCGCTTGGAGTTTTGCAATGTCCAAAATAACAAACATTCCTGTCGGGATTTCATAAGAAACTGCCACTTTCACTATGAAAGCCTTTAGCCTTTTAAAAGAAGACAAAAGTCATTAAAATCCCAGATTTTATTTTTGTGTTTGGATACTATGACTGATGTTACGACTGATATTAAGTCTTTATTTTCAAATACTTCTTTGTTGATCAGTAGATTACTGTGCTAATTCAATGACTGGGCTGTCAATTCCACAGACAAAAATACTGAACCTATATCATCCCTGCCAGGTGATAATTTCCCAAAAGGTTGTGTGCATGGTCAACATGCATTTTGTATTTCTGGCAGATTGATTACATTTTAGGGATGCAGAGAAATCGAACAAGTGAAGAGTGATGTTTCTTTGAGCAGGGACTGACAGAACAGTCAGTGTATGAAAAACACCAGAGGCTATTTCACAGTGAATGTTTTCATTATATTTGCAAATTATGCTGGTAGTTAAGAGAAGAAGACAGCACTGAACTATGAGCTTGTCAGATAGCAGCTAACTGTGTTTAGTTTAAATATAGCATTGCAACCTTTAAAAAATAAACAACTTGTTACATGTATCTAATGAATAATATTTATCAAAGTGCCACAGCGCAATACACTGTAGTGTACATTTTCCACTCTGCTGTCACTGACATGAAAAATATACAAAAATTCCCTTCATCTTCTTCTATTTGTTATTTAAATGCATTAACAAAACTGTGAGAGCCACGATTAGGATTTTTATGTGAGTGAATGCTTTTCTGATATGTGAAACATAACATATATATTTAAACAGAAATTTTCAATAGCATTTTCTGGATGTTAGGAATATGTGCAAATGTCAGAGGATTTGTTTGACATTAGTTGAACAAACAGTAGTTCAGCTACAACTAATTCCTCTATAATGCCCAGTTCTTATGACATGATTATATATTGGTTATATATATATTGATCAAATAATTCTGTACTAATCTTGTTTCTGCAACCACCTCTGCAACTTTCTTTAACCTTGCACACTCTAACACACAGATAGATGTTAATCTGCACGAATACAGTATGTAAGGTCTGATTCACAAAAGGTTCTAATGTGATTAGAAGCATGTAGGCCAAAGTGAAATATGATGAAATGCCACATTTACAAACCTAAAAACATAAAAAGCATCTGAAAGTCTTGCACATACCCATCTGTAAAACTGCAGAATTGTAAATGTGTGTTTAATATACCACATTTATGCTAATGAATGCAAACAATGTTGAAGGATATAAGTTCTAAAGCTGATAATATACAAAATTCACAAGAAACTTTAACTTGTACAGTATGTATATTGGCATGGGATTGATGAAAAGGGAGTAGTTAATTAATTGAGATCCTTCTTTCAAAAATCTCATTATTGAGTGGCCTGCACACGAACTCTTGTGAAAAGAGAGAAGAAGAATGGTCCATTCCCCGAAGGCTAATAATTTCTATGACATACATAAACATGAGGGGGTGCGTACCATAGTGAATACAAACTTAATTGTGGTTATTAAACACATCTAAAGGACACAGCTTACATACTGTATGTCCTTTGTAAACACGATATAAATCTTTGCAAATGAGTTACTTGGTATCGTTAATCCCTGCATCCATCTTTTAACCACTTCATCCAATACAGGGTTACAGGCAGGGGAAGCCGGAGCCTCTCTGGACAAGCAGCTGGTGCAATACACCCTGTGTCCATCACAGGGAACAAACACACTGACACAGACACAGACACGCACACATCCACACTGGGGTCAGTTCTGGCATCGTTTATCAACACAGGAAAATAGACATTGCCACGGTATTTACAACACTGGGAGATTTGGAGTTTTTAAAAGGGGATTAAAATGTAAAAGTACTGTTTCAGCTCTAGGTGGCTGAGAAGTGTCTCTTAGATTTTAGATAAAGTTTGTGACACTTGGAAGGGTAAACACTTCTAACTTCAAAGCAGAGAGGATGTTTGCTGAGGACTGCTTCCCTTGAGCAGAAACAATGGTAAAGTTTACCTTGGTATACCTAGGGAAGTTGTGGATTAATAATTGGCAAGCACCAGTACAGACAGACACAATATAAGATCACATGAAGAGCACAGGAGGAGAGGAGGAAGTAAGCAGGCAACAAGGAGAAGAGAGAGGAGTCCGGAGGAGTGGGGACCTGAAGCTGGCACCAGGCGAGAGCCCCTATTTCACGATCATCCAAAGCAAACATGACTGGAGCTAAGTATTTGAAACTTGTGAGAGAGAGCATTTTTATGGATAGGGATATAGGCTCCCATTTATATTGTGGCTTCCAGGGTACAGAGAGAGAGATTTAACTGCAGGCTGCATTGTATTTAGTTATGAGGCAGCTCATCTGTGTGGCCTCTGTAGGCATATTAAGAGTTTAATGCTTAGTTTAATGCTTTAATGCTTGGGGTTTTCTGGGTGACCTCTGAAACGCCTTGTTTGTTAATACTGTTTAACTTGTGTGTTGTATGTTTTGTTGTGTGTAGTGTAGTTTGTGTTTTGTCACTGTAATAAATATTTGTTTAACCAAGTGTGCCTGGCTTATTACTCCTCTCAACCAAGCTGTGCCAGAGAATAAAGAATTCACGTGCCTCTTATTATACCAGACGCTTGGGTGTATTGCTAGAAATCATTGGCATGTTGGGGGGTATAAATAGTTATTGACTACACTGCTCGGTCAAGTCCTGACTTTCACCAGTTTTGTAACCCCCCATTTGTAACAGTATTTTACCCTAAGGATAAGAAAGCACTGCAAAAATTTAGAATATAACATTACATTAAAAGTGTCTTATACTCAGTATCCATAATATTCAGACAATAATTTATTTAAAAGGTTTTACAGTATTTTCTGAAATTAAACTAAGAAAAATATGTTATGACTAGAAAATGATTAAATTTCAAAGGGCCAATAAAAAGAAAGGAACTTAAGTCAACGGATGTACCCATAAATGAAGTTTAGCACTACTGTATTCTGTAAAATAATTGTAAATCCTTCAGCCGCAGCCTGTAAATTTTAATGTTATAATGTCAAATTTTGCTGGACCAGTCTCACCTTGAAAAGGTTGAAAAGGTGATAGTACGAATCTTATTTCTTAACAACCTTGCGGCTAAGAATACTAGTTGACCTTTGAAGCTTGTTTCAACACCATGTTCTGAAATGACTCTTTAATGTTTGGCGGTGATATATAGATACTTTTAAGCACCTTTTGTTCAAGGATTTTGTGGTATTAAAAATACAGAACTTTGAAATGGCATACTATAAAATGACTTTCACGCAAGTGAGTAATTTTTCCTGCAGGATAGTAAACTACGTCTCCAGCTATAATGTTGATAGCTGCTGTGCCATTCTGCACTTTTATGTCAGTCAGTTTCGGAAATGTCATGTTTTCAGTTTTACTTTCCTTACACACACTCACACACGTTCAGCACACTTTGCTAACCGCTGGGTTACCTTTCGAGCTGCTTGTTGAAAACGGTCTAGAGCTCTTTGTCTGACTTCCCAGGGGTTGTTTGAATGGACATCAAATTTAGGAATGCAGACAGGAAGCTAAAACATATCAGAGACTCATCAGGCTTAAATGTTAAGGACACACATTCATCAGCAAATTCAGTGGTGCTCTTAATGTTTATGCACATTATAGACGCCACATTCTTTTCCTATGTCATTATTAAAAGTCGGCTGGGAGTCAGAAATAACTCTCAAACTTAATCTTTCAACCGCTGCTTCAACTCCCTGCACACAGTCCATAAAATCACTGTGCCTGTGCAAAGTCATGATTCTCCTGTCATTATTCATCATTTTGATTTTTGTACCAGGTGTCCTGCATTGAAACACAGAGCTTACTGTACCTGGCCTGCACGACGCAGAACTCGCTTCATTGACATCTGGGGCTGTGTTCTACAAAATTCTTTTTCTTTCTCGAAGCCTTCTTTTTTCATCTAAAAGTTAAGACATTTCATGTATCCAAGAATAAAGAGATACACCGGGCAAAAGAGACCCTGATATATGTCAATATACAGTATGACAGTTGTGTCAAAGTGTTAAGATATAAGAGAAGACCTACAAACAAAGAGGGCTGTCAAATAATAAAGTGGCAAGCCTTTCTTTTCGTATAAACACAGAACCCTGGGTCCCATAAAGTATTAGATGTGTAAAAAGACTGTATAAACATCAGGAGGGAAACGGATGGGAAAGGAAGTACATGTTAAATGTGAGGTCAATGCCATCTTCAGCTTAGTAAGAAGTCTAAGCAGTACCCTTACACACTAAAATGTTATTAAGCCTTATTTTTAGATTTGTTTTAATAAGTGGAAAGTCAAAAATACTAGAAAAATATATTCAGTACATTTTGAAAGTAAATTATTAGCCAACATACGTAAATTCTTCCTTGTTATTTATTTTCAAAACGGTAACACTGTCTTTAATACTGGAAGAGTCTTTTTTTCTTTGTAGCTACCTTATTTGAGGTATAGTGCTTAGGAGTATAAAAGTGTACAATTTATTAGAAGAATTTTAATAAATAAAATATATACATTCTCATTTCCTAAGTGGTTATAAAATCAGTGGTGTTTCAATAATTTTGCTTTGACAGCATATGTACAAAAATATACACACAGACACATGTACACCACCAATGACATTTTGCTTAGTTCTCTGCTGAGGACTAGATCACCTCTCTTTCAGGCGTGTCTTTAGGGTTTCAAAAACTGGCATTGAGAATTATCACAACATATTCTGCATCTTGATAATTCCTTAGGAAAGCATTTCTAATAAAAACTGTACTCCAGATTTAAGATGCAAAGGTCTACCTACAGAACAGGTTATTACATACAGCATTAAAACTGTCAAGTTATGCTTTAAAACCTTTCATTGAAACAATTGTTCCCAAAGAGTAAGTTTTTTCCCTTTGTTTTCCAAAGAAAAGCAATTATTGTAATGCTGTTAAAAGTGTTCTTCACTCATGACTACATTATGTGATTGAATATTCTATTAATTCAAACATAAATCCAGTAGATGTAAAGCATTAATTGCAGACATTACTCATTTTGGTCCTTTATAAAAAGAGATGACAGACCAGTGCATTTGGACTTGACTCAATACATTCCTTTCTCTGCAGTATGGTCATTAATTCATTACACTCCTTCTTGAAAGTCACTGTTTACTTCCTAGAACATTGTATTTTACTCTGGACTGAATTCATTTTACCGTATATTCATGCTCTGCAATCTCTCGTTCCTCCAGAATGTGTCTTTTTGCTTTTGTAGAAATTGGATCCTTTCCAAGATGCACTTGCCTAAATTAAGAGAGATCTTAATTGGATCTCTTATCATGAATTCATAAGATTGTTAATTTGGTTCAGTATGTGATATTTAAGCATTTGGTTCACTCATTAAGGACTAACAGCCTGTCCTATTTTCAAATAATAAATCAGGATCATAGAAACTCATTTAATTTACCACTGTTTACTGTGAAAACAGATAGCTTCACTTTGTTTGAAATACAGCATGATTGCAAAGGAAACATTTAGAAGGTACAGTTTATCTTAACTGCCTATAGTAAAATAATAAAAAGAAAGAATATTATAAGAACATCAAAAACAAATAAAAACTGATACATTAAAATGGTATTCACTTCTACAACTGCTATTAATAAGAAACATTCATACCATCTTAGTTGATTGGCTCTCTCTTCCAGTACATCCTGACGGACCTTTTGCTCAAATGATGCTTCTTTCATCTGTCTTGTTTGAAATGTATCTCCTCCGTTGCAATTGACTTAAAACATAAACATTATAACAAGATATCATAAAAAAACAAGAATATTAAAATAATACTTTTTTCTTAATCAGCATTTTGTAAGTACACAAGGATCTCAGTAACAAGTGAATGTTGGGTAACTCAAGAATTTCACACAGAAGTAAAAAAAGATTTTCGTGCTCCTCTGTGTATGGGATACCTTTACGAAATAGATACCCAAAGACACAATCATTCTGGGCAGGCTGTCATCACGTGTCCAGTATCCTCAACTTTTAAACTAAATTAAAATATGATCAGAGATCACAGGTTTTCATCTTCAGTAAGAAAGTCTAGATTAGGTATTACAAAATGGGAGGAAAATGGATCAAGGTAAAATGGACCTACAGTACTGTACTGTAGCAAAGAAAGTTAAAATGGGAATAAGGATGAATTTCCTACTATGTGTAGGAACATAGTAAACATTACAATCGAGAGGATGCCCTTCATCACATCTAGTTCATTTGGATGAAAGGTCCTATAATGGATGTTTCAAGTACAGATTTGTGGTTCTCAGCCTTTGTCCTGGTGGACCTGGTGTCTAATGGGTTGTTTTCCAGTTGAGCTCTAAATCTCCAGTGCAAACTGCTGCCTTTTATTGAACTGCTTTCGTCTTTAGACAAGTTTGGTCTACTTGTATAAAGTTTAACCTCAGTCCCGAATGCAGCAAAATACCCCATTTCCAGCATCCTGTTTCCAAGAGCTTCAGGCCACAGAACGTACTGCAGCTTCTCAAAGGCTCATTCTCCCTCAGTTCTGTGTAATCTGCTCCTCATAGGTGATCAGTTACAATGGCAAACAGACACAGGTGGGAATGACAGTGTACCCACAATGAATGTTTTTTTTTTTGCTTCCGTACAGGCCCAACACAGAAACTCAGAAATTGCTACAGGATTCACACCAACGAAAAATCCTCTTTGGTTTAAAGGGGCTGAGAACAAATGTCAAAATAAGACTCCAAAAGAACATTAATTAGGATGTGATTAAGAACTCACTATGAACAGAAAACTGAAGACAATATTGTTCCCCAGGACCAAGAGCCACTTCTGTAAATGCGCCTCCTCGAATAGTTTGTAACCTCACGTGATTCTGTAACACTTTTGCTTGTTTACAGTGGGGCAAACCATAGAGTCCAATTTGGGGCTGTAGTGCCATGTGTGTATTGCTACAATTATGAAGCCTTAAATCTCCTCTAGTTTGATTCACAGCCAATTTAGAAGGCATTCTGACATTCTAAGAGTCTGTTTCCAAAAATACACTCGGCTGCCTATGAGGAATTATTGGCTCTAAAGAACCAAAACTCACATCACAGCTATTGTTTTGCCACAACAGCACTAGTCTTTTAAAAATATTTATGGATGTTTGGAAATGTTATTTGTAACTGTCTTTTTTATTCGGGATGTAAGTCCTAAAGGCTTGAGTAGTCGGTCAATAAACAACGCAATTGCTTCCCACAGGAAGGCCTCCCTTTAATAAATAACAGCTGCTGCATTTGACCCATACAGCTACTAAGGATAAAGTTTTATTTATAAATAAAATTAAAAAAACTATAAAATAAGAAAATATAAATGGGATTGTATTCTTTATGGTACCCGGAATTTCTTTTTGTATTTTTGTGAGAGCATTAAATACGTTTATGTCTTTAATTATAAGAAGGATGTAATGCTCAAATCTAAGTTCCTTCCAGATCTGTAGCAGTTCCCAAAGAGACCTGTGTAGCCACCTGTACTGCAGAATCCAGCATGCCACTGTTCACATACACCCTGCAAAACAGCTGGACCATGAGCACACACAGCATCCAGAAATCCCTAAAGCGGGTCTTAAGAGCTGTAATCTTATCAGGCAATTAATTGTGGAGACTCAATTAATTAAGGCCAATGAAGCTTAAAGAAAATGGAAAATGGTGATTATTACAGATGAGTAAATACAATATAAGGATAATTATCTGTGATTCTGCTGCATTATCATCTTGTTGGAACAATATTAGAACAATAAATAGAAACATAGCTTTCTTCATTTATGCTGTTTTAAGCACAATGTATTTTATTGATAAGATTTATTTAATTAATAATACATCTAGACATAAAGATATCATGACATAAAAAACGTAATAATTACAAAGCATGGGGCACTGCTCTAAAATAGCGCTACCTTCTTTTAGGTCTTTAGCACGCAACTTGCCAGGCTGCTGAATTAGGACTTTGGCCACAGCGGCAGGATTTGACAATTCCAGTGGAATCTCCTGAAATAGAACAAGACGTAGTCAGTTTCACAACGTCCTGAAAAACACTTTATAGTCATTCAACAAAACTCATATAATCAGTGCTCTTGATAAATCTCAGCTTTAGAAATACTGTAGTATGTTTAATCGTTCTGCATAAATGTTATGGCCATTTCAAGACACATCTATCAGATCACTCATTTTGTTCAACCACTCAAAGCTGACATCAATCAATAACAAGACCGCACATTTCTTTTTAATCTCTTTACCTTGGGCTTATGTGAAGAATATTTTGGATTTAATTTTCGTTTGGCCCTGGATAACTGTACCATTGAAATACGCTGAGGGTCCAACAGTTCATTTGAAAAAGAGAATCCTGTGTCTTCATCTTTATCCTGCTGCCTGAAACATCAACATCAAAACATTAATAATCAATATATTATTGGTTGCATTTGGATGAGAAGCTAAATTTTCCATGTCTAAATACTGGTGTTCATTGTGTTAGTGTGTATCTTTCCATCTATCTGTTATTTTTCAATATTTAGTTCACATCTTCAAAGCCATTTGAAGCAAATCTTATGTGACATCTTAATTAGAGAAGAGTTGATATCAGAACACATTCACTTTTGTAAATCATTAACCTCTTCAAGCTATAAATCGGAGTAAAGCAGAGCTACACTAATTGATTGATTATGGTGATTTTCACATGGGAACAAAAAACTTACAGCCAGGAGTCTAACATGCAAATTGAAGGAGACAAACCACAACAATATCCACTCATAATACATTTTCTCTTCCCTTTAAAAAATAATGTTTTCAAGCCAAGCAAAAACATAAAATTACTAAGAAAAATACTAGGTTTCATCATCAGTTTAAATTTATTTTGGTACTGTAAACATTTGCATTTGAAAAAGCAAACAAAAGACAGTCATAATGGAGATCATTATTACTCCTTCCCTTTTCAGCAAATATAAACACACATATTGCTTCTACACCTGTAAATGTCATGGTCAACTTTTGCTGATAAACAAACCAAACTAATGCGGTGTCTTCCTCTGGCCTCACAGTGAGATTCAACAATACGTCTATTGTCGGTCTTCTAGGCCATGGTGAAGAAATGGGCAAATTATGTGTAAATCATAATGCTGTGCTTATATATCAAAGGCATCATGTTATGATAAGAAAACAAGATGACACAAGGCCAAATCAGTTCTATCGTCAAAGGAAAGATATGATACTTTTATAACTAAAGTACCGTACATCTTACTTTACAAACCATATATCTTTTAAAAAGGCAGTGTAAAAGGCAACATACAAAATCAGTTATCCTGCCCATCATGGACAGCCTCTCTTATCTAATCATACAGAGATTGTTATTTTTGAAATTGTTGTGGGTATACAGCAACTTTCATTTTTTATTGCACGTCATTCATCAGTGGCTTTAGTCCTAAATGGGAAGAGGTACAATATTATATTGTATGCATCTCAGTTTTGTCATCTATTTCCATTTGCTGAAATTGTTCAATAAATGCCAGGGAGACCCTTAATTTGAATATCAGGAATAATGGTCACAGTACAGAACAAAATGTTTATCTAACTTTAGGACTGCAACATTACAGATTATTCCACTTTAAGACTATCATCAAATGGATGAAGGCAAAAGGTTTATACAATAACATGAAAATTGACATGCGTGGTAGATTATCAACACACAGACCTCTATAATACGAGCAAATCTGTGTGATGCATTTAGCCATGTTTACACTCACATGAACAAATATGTGCAAGCAAAATATCTGTGAATCAAACTCAGAAATGATACTGGGATTTATGATGGTGGTAGATCTGACTAAATAAATACCTTAGACCTAGATATGGAGATGATGTTCCAGAGAAAGTGCAGACATAAGGCTTGGAATTGAACTGTGAGATTATTAGTTGTAATGTTGTCTGTGCTGTGCCGTATTCAAATGGAGTAAATGTCACAGTGATATCCACTTGCCCATTGGCAGGAATGACTCCTAAAAAACAAATATGTAAACAAATGACAAACATTTATGGTCACAGAATGATGCACAATACAACTCATAACTCTAAACTACATTACACATTACACACACTAAATTCTATTAAAGGTATGTGAATATGATGTGTTTTAACTTTTTTTTTTCTTTTCAGAAAGACCTGACACTCAATAGTTACAACATGATAGTTTCAGGGCCAGGGGTGTAAAATTACTCTACAGTTAAAGCTAGTTGTGAGCCATTTTCCAGTGTGTGGGATTTAAGAGATCTGATGTACATGGGGATCTGGACAACATCAGAGGATAAAAAAATCCTTTACTTGATTTGTTTGAACAGCTCACTTAAATGTGAAAACCTGGAGCACCACGATCTGCTTCCATTAGAATGGAAATATAATAAACAGAAGATTTTGTTTGAATTAGTGTATCTGTAAATTAAATTATTACCTCTTTCTATGTGTACCACAACAAAATATCCAGTAAGAAATAATCTAGGGTTTTCCATGAGCTCCAAGAACTGGTCACACTGTATTTCTCAATCCAAAGGTGAGGAAGGCTAAGAAAAAAACTGACTTTCTCCAAAAATTTGATAACAGATTGAAGATCTTATAGTTTACAGATTTTAGATATAACAGTCATGTTGCTGAAGCTGACCCTCATTACCATTCATGGCTTCTTTCAAGAAATGGCTGGATGAAAGCCTGGATGGAATAATTAGCTACTGGAAAACCAAATGAGCCAGAGAAGCCGAATGACCTCTTCCCATTTGTACCTGTTCTTATGTTCTTATGATCATATTTCAAACAGCGGCTGAAGCACAGCTGTGTGAGAGCAGTGACTCTGCTCTGACTCTGTGTAATGACAATGGCTTATTCAAATGACAGTTCTGCCTAACTGCTGCACACCTGCTTGGGCAGATGGGCAATGCAGACAGCAAATCTCCCCCGCATTATGCATCATTCATATTCAGATTGTACATTGCAAAGAACTGAAACAGATTACTTTGGAGAAACACATGATGCCACATTTGACAAAACGATAAGCAAATTTGCTGTCAATAAAACGATTACTTCTCAGATGACAGATTTAATTACAAAAGTAATATATACAGTATATTTAAAAAAGGAAAGGACATCAATATTTCTAAGACAAGTAGTTTCTTCACTGAGTAAGATCTGATATTATTATTGCTGTTTTCAGTTTTTATAAAAAAAACAAGTTAACCTTTTACTTTCTCTTTGGACTTTATGATCTGCATATTTTACCTGAAAGTGGCTCGACTGAAAATGCCTTGTGAGGTTCAATGCAATAAATCTGGAACTCAAAGTCAATTGGGCAGCAGCAGGTCAGAGGGATGACATAGATCTTGCTATAAAATGCAAGAAGCAAAAACAAAACATAAAAATGAATGAGATGGATAAGCTGAGAGGCCCTTAACCTCTTCCTTATAAACACAAAAGGCTGAGAATTGAAAAACAGAAGTAACTCTGGAAATAGCACCCAAGGTAATGAGGATATTTTCTACTCTTCACTGCATTAGCTAATTATTTCCATTCTTTAAAATATTAATTGGAAGGCCTAGCATTTGCTATTGTAATCTGGTAATTACGATTATACATAGAATTATATATTTATTATAGAATGTGTACACAGTAGCTGGCACTCAAGATTTATGCAACACTGGCACAGGATGGGAATGATGGTTTATTTTATTTTAAAAGTCTTCATAAAATATTTAAATTATATCACATTTTAATTCCAGATAGAAAGCAAACAAAAGAGGAAACTGGGACTAATACTTTACAAAGAAATAAATGAAGTAAACTGGATTTTAGGTGACTCTTTAACTGCCACGGTAGAACTCAATTAAATATGTAAACATGGCTAGACATTGATTGCTTTGTATCCTCAAGTCACTAACTGTAGTACAGTACATCTATTAAGGCTTTTAAGTGCATTTTGTTTTTACCCTTAAAACACCCATGTCAATTCTTCAAAGTACACGGAAAATGACAAAGGGATTTTGCATTTTACAAAGCAACTGGCTGGCTCCAGGACTATGCAAATAACAAACCTGGTACTTATCATTGCTAGATGACAATGTGTAAATGTTTGTTAAGACTGAAAAGGGTCACCCGCTTTACTTAAAGCATTAAAGTTCCTATACTTCCAAATGCAGTGCCTATCATATCTCCACTTTGTAAAATGGCTGTTTTCCTTTCAGAATTACCTTAGAATGCACTCTCAATACAAAATATTTTAGAGTCAATTCCTAACAGTCTCCAATATACTATTTGAGTTGGATAAGTGACATTGGTTCATTTTTTAATTTGTACATTTTGAATGCCTTTTAAAAGTCCCACATTGTCCCATTTGGTTGAATTATGTGTACACATTTTAAAAAATGAGTAGGAAAAATAAAACTATAATATGTACGTATTCACCCCTCACAATCAATGCATGCTGAAAGCACGTTCAGCAGCAGTTATAGCTGTGACTTGTTCTGATAGTTTTACCAACTTTGCACACTGGGATACTGCAGGCTGTGCCTGTAACTAATTTTTGCAAACATAAAGCGCAAAATGAAAAATTAATTTACTATATTACTTCCATTATGTGATTTACAATACTTTGCAAAATTGGAGTAAAGACATAACTGTACATGTAAAAAAATCATATATAACAAAATATAACATTCACTGCACTACAGTTTCTGACAAACCACACTTCCTGACTTTTCCCTAGAATTTATGGCTGTAAACCTTGTAAGCATGCAAATTTGTTAGTGACATGAACTTCACCAAAAACTTTATCACTGTTCAATATGTATCTCATGCTAATACTATAATTATTTCTCTGGAAAAGCATTATTCTTATTATAATAATGTCTTATTATTTCTTCAAATTAATGCTGGGGGATTTTATTTCTTATGCCTTCACTACTTAACACTACTTAACTCCATACTAGAAAAAAAAAAGTTTTATGCTGCCTTTGTTTTTTTTTTACTCATTTCAAAAACATAAAAGCTATATATTAATTATTAGAGACTGGTGCTCAAGAAAGGATCGAGTATAAGGACAAATTTAATATAACATGCCACAAATATTGAATTTCATACTGCTAATGATTCTAGTTGAAATGATCACAAAAGAGCATGAGGAATATCTACATTCAACATCAGACAACGTGTCCTGTGATATTCTACACACACAGACCCTATTTTTAGATGGAAATAACTTTTTTCCAACTGAAATAAATTAATGTAGTAAAAGACAAGGTTTATCTCATGTATATAAAATGAAAAGTTTATTATTAATTTGCATTTCTGGAATATATCTACAGTATGCTATTTCCACTGGCTATAAAATGGAAAGTGCCCAGTAAGTCTTTTGTAAGGGTACTGCTGTTTATGCTGTCCTTTAGAAAACTGGCAACTGGCCATTCATGAAAATTTATTTTAATCCCCTTCACTTTTATATTGTGTTGTGCTGTGTATATATATATATTTAGAACATTTTTCAGTGCTTTTCTTTTGTTCTACTTTTTTACCTCTTTATGTGTATTGCATGTGTGCTGTACTGTAAGTATGATGTAGTTAAGATAATAAAGGTGAGTAACATCTAGTTTTTCCGTCTTGAATTTAACCCTGTACGTACAATGTGGATATGTGTATTGATAATATTACCCTATAAATTAGATCAAGACAGAGCCTTTTAGGGTCATTCCTACTCTACCTCTGAATTATTTTAAATACAGAACAAAGAATAAACACAACTCCAAGGTGAATGTTCATACTCTATAACTTGATATACAGCAACAGCAATGTTGCTATTTATGCTAATAAACAGTATTATAAATAAGAGACATTGCCACGTGAAATTCCAGCCACATTTTAAGATTCATACTTAATTTTTAAAAAGTACATCTTGCCAAAAACAACCATTTACAACAGTACTGGGAATTCGGTGTGAACAATGGCTACTTTATCAGGTGGAACATGCTCTTGACCAGTCTGATTATGACTCTTTAGTCATGAAATTGGGCAATAAAATAATAGATAAGACTTTTAGTATCATCACTGTATAATAAACAGTACATGAAGGAAACAGATTATAGTTAACTACCATGGTATCTCCTCAAAAGAAGGAAGCACCCTGAGTTACCAGGGTATTTCCATGAATGGACTCTGTTTTATATCTCTATCATGCTCTCTCTTGAATATCCGTCAGTGCTACCCATGAGTTTAATAGTACTATTAAAAATTAATCTTTATGACCTGCTGCTTTAAGATAATAAGGCCTGTGTGTTTAGTCCTGAAATATGTAATGTTTATTCTGATTATCTCTTTATAAACTTAGGTGGAAATGTCTACATCTTTTTTTAATTCAACCTTTAAATTCTACAGAATGTTCCTAGGTTACCTAAAGCAAATGAGTGCTTAAAATATTATATTGTATAGAAATACCTCTCCCAAAGACATGAATCAACTGAGCACAGCACAGAACCGTGATGCAAACACCGCAGCTCCAGATTTCATACTCGTACCTCTGGCCAAGTGGAGTGCTGGAGAGGCTGATGTGTGAAGGGAAGTGCAAATCATTGATCACTGGATAAGCATGGATAGGAACAAGGAGGTTGTCATCTCCCTGGAAACAATCACCACACTGCATTTGGGAGGGACTCATGAAGCCAATCATAATTCAAAGTGACATTAGAAAGACAACAAAATGCTGTTTTAAACAGAAAAAAAGGAGTAAACAGCACAATGTACATTGCAGATTGTAAAACCAATGCTGTTGTTCATTTTAAACCTAATTTGTTTTATTTATAGTACATACACAATATTAAAGACAATCTTGAGCACTAAAAAGCTGTATGAATTTCTTGCAATGCTTCTGTTGACTTAAAGCTTTTTGCAATGTTGTTTGAGGCCCAAAATAAAAAAATAGTTTTAAATAGATCCGCTCAGAAAACATAAAACGTACCCATAACAACAATACATTTAATTCTGAATTGACCCAGATGAATACGTAAATTCATATACAGTGTTGGAGAAAGTGACTTTGAAAACGCGACTGTCACGCCCAGGCTGCAGGCGGCCCACAGACTGCAGTTACCACAGATAACTGCAGCCTTTTCACAAGCGATCACGCTCCAGGGGACCACGTCTCCATCAGGCAGCCAACCCTCCAGTCAAGCCACCAATTAATGACCATGTTAAAGGCTTGATTCACCACTAGACAGGTGCTCTGACATTGAGATTACTGAGAGCTGTCTGGCGGTCAGCTCTGCTCTCCACATCCAGCCGCTCTGAAAGTGAAAGCCAGGACTATTCAGAGAAACTTGCCTGCCGGGTCCTCCTGTCTCACTCTGTCACCTCTCACTCCATCACCCCTCACTCTGTCGCCGCCCACACCGTTGCCCCTCACTCCGTCACCCCTCATTCCGGCACCCCCCACTCCGGCACCCCCCACTCCGGCACCCCCCACTCCGGCACCCCTGTTGCAGCCCACACCGTTTCCCCTCACTATGTCACCCCTCACTCTGTCACCCCCCCCCTCCGTCACCCCTCACTCCGTCGCCCCCCACTCCGTCGCCCCATCGCTATGGAGAACTAGCCTGCAGCCCTGTGCAGGACACTGTGGTGTGACAGTAAGACACTACTTGTGCAAAGAATTACTTTTCGAAATTGCTTCTCGGGTGTAATTTATTACTTTATATAAAAGCTATCCACTTCACTATATAGTACATTGCAGTAACCGACTTTTGAAAAATTATTTTCACCCAATTTCTTATTATTTTTAAAAAGTAAACCCTTACACAAGTATCTTGGAAGTGTGATGGATTGCCTTAAAAGTCGCTTTCCCCAGCAATGTGCATATACACCAACTAAGACTTTCATCTGCATCTCCAATACACACTACGTGCTATACACAGACCATATCACCACATAATAACTCAGTAAACAAATTCCTACCTTGCAGTGAACTCGAATACAATCATAAAAGTAGCGCCACTCATCAGGGCAGAAATGGATGGTTACTGTATACGAGAGCCCAGGGACCAGCCGGTGCTACAAAACAGATACCTTCCATTTCATTAGAGTATAAATTAGAACACAGAAAAGGGGATCTGGAAAATCACAACGTGGACACCATACATTACCAATACAATTCAAAACTTGTTCTTTCATTTATTTTAATACTAGAAAAATGATCATCTTCTCTTTTCTAAAGAAAAGACTTTTGAAAAGTATATTGTGTGCTGAAAAAGTATTCAGACCCTTGCAGTTTTCACATTTTGTTGCTTTAAAGCTTGCACTCGTGACTATTTGAAGTAGCAAATAAATTGCTACTGTATGTTTACAACTGACCTCACGCATTCGAAGCATAAGGCAGAATAGTAAGTAGTAAGTAGATCATTAATATGAAAGAAAATGAAATTTAAAAGTAATCATGCCCTTTGGCTGTGGCAAATCTAAGTTAATTTAGGTGAACAAAATGACCTTAATTGGTAAAAAAGTCTCTATCTGTGTGCAATCATAGTGGTTTACATGATTTCAGAATATACACATGTATCCCTGTAACGACCATCTGTCTGCCAGTGAATGTCACACAAAAATTCAACCATAGAGACCAAGGAACTTTCAAACTTTGAGTTTTTAAACTCAAGTTTTTAGGGATAAAGTTGTATAAAGGCACATATCAGTAGAAGAGTATAAAATATTTCAGCCCTTACAGATACCACCATGAGGCTAAAGGCAACTTTAAAAGACTTACAGAGTTCAGGGGCTTAAACGGGAGAAAATGTCCACGAACCAACAATATCCCAGTCACTCAACAAAGGGATTTATACGGATCTAAAATCAAACACCTCAAATCCTGCATAGAGATTGCAACAAAGTAACAAAGTGTAACATCTGGCCAAACCCAACATAGTGCATCACTCAATCAATACCATCCCTGCTTCAGACATGGTGGTGGCAGAATTATGTTATACAGAAGTTCTGCTTCTCATCAGCAGGGACTGCAGTATGTATATGTAAATACTTATCTAATACATGAAAAATATAGAGTATAGGAAATACCATTAGATGTTTGGATGTTTACATACTATTGTATTTTGAATTTAACAATTTTAACATACACATAAAGATTTATATAAATTAAAGTTTATGTAATGGAGAAAATATAGAATGTTTTGTCAAACAAAACTGTACCTTTTTAGAATACGTGATCTGAAAGTACTTTGTCTGGGCTGGCAGGATATGAATGTTTATTACTTCTGATGAAATGTTGACAAATTTCTGTGAGAAAAGAGAAGCAAGTCATAATTCACTGTAATCTTGGTAAAAATGCAGCAAGTAGATAATCTAAAGGAAACTCTGTCACCTTCCTAATTTCAATGTTAGAGAGAGGTCACGCTACGAAGATTTTCATCTTGTGTTGTTGTCAAGTTGCTCAATTAGAATGCTTGCAATTTTTAGAAATTGTGTCCAGTTGTGCATATCGTATGGAATTACAGATTACAGATAGCAGACACACTGCAATGACATTAAAAATAAATCTACTTCTGCACCATCATTTATAAATTACAACTCACACTATATTATTTACAAAGAGATTAACTCTTGCGCTTTGTGAGTGGAGTATCTTTTGTTTGTTTTGACAACTGTAGGTACTGAGTGCAGCCTGTATTTATAGACTCAGAAACTGTCCAGGACATGCAAGTATTAAAAACAATCCAAAGTCACAGAATAGTATGTATTCTTTATATGTACCATGGATAAATATTGATATCCCCAAAATTCCTAAATTCTCTGTGACAAACGTGGTTGCAGCTCTTTATATATAATTTCTGTATCCACTAATCATTAAATGTGGCTTTAGAAAATCCCCCAAAATAATAACATTCCCACCATGTGATTTATACAGATTATACAGGACCTCTGTGAACCCAAAATGCAGATTAATTGAAGGTTTATTATTTATCAGTTCCTTTAATGTGTTTGTTGTTACCATCCCTGTTTGGGCTTGTATATATTAGCTACGATTAATGCATTTAAATCCCCAAAATCTAATAATGATGATGAAGATCCTGATGAAAACATTCAAAAGTGCTAATACATCATTTTTAAATAGTAAGAGTGCCAGTTTGATTCTGCCATTTTAATCATTTTCTTATTATAATCTTTGTGTGTGTTCATTTTCTCCTTCTTTTGTAAAACATGACTTTATTACTTATCAGGCTGATCACCATCCCATATCCCACACAGCATATATGCAGTGAAATCATTCTTCTGAGGAAAAATACAGATGGAAATCTCTCTGTGTTATTGAGCTGATGTTTCATGTCATCACTGTGAAGCAGTATGGTTTAACTTACCACAGTCTGTTGGTAACTCTTTCCCAATTCAAAGCCACTAAAATGAATGACAGGAGGTTCGGCCTGAATGCCGCTATTATTCTGTAGTTTGGCATAAATCTCTGAAATAGAGTGTAATATTCAACACATGAACAGAGGGAGGATTGTGACATTACTGCCTGTGTATTTTCACTATACAGCACTGTGAAGACAGATGCATTAAAGTTAAATAAAACAAAGATACTATCATTTTTACAGTCAGTAACCGAACAATATACACCACTATAATTACAATTTTAAATTAAGACAGTGACATGAAATACTAGATCACATGCAACTCTTCAGTTTCCCTGTAATAAACTGATGGGCTTAGATGTTTTGTGCACCTTCAGAAGACTCTGTGAAACTAGCACCTTCTACAAAACTGATTCAAGGTCTGTCTCGGAGGTAGTGCAATTGCTCTCATAACATCTACTGCTTTCCCACACTGACGATTTCTTTCTATATTTAATCTAAAAAAGAAAGATCTCCTACTGGTTTCAAGGTGATTGGGTACATCAGCTCCCTTTCTGGTTTCCACTACAAGCTGACCCAGGGGCAGGGTGTTTCTTTTCTTGAAGCTCTTCTTAAAGGACTCAGACGCAGGAGGGACAACCTCCATCGCTGGAACCTTCTTCAGCCTTCCCGGTCCTTAGATAGTTTCAAGCATTTGTGCTAAAATGAGTAAAATATTAATTAAGCAGATTTCGATTTCAAGAAAAAAGATTGCTCTTTGCAAGATTCTGTAATAATAATAATAATTATAATAATAATAATAATAAACATTCAACAGCTGAAAATGCAACAATAAAGAATAAAATGTACTATTTTGAATTTAAATTACATTTGTACAGTCTTTTAAAACGCAGTTTTAACACTGAGGAAAGAAAATTCTGTTTTCTTTGATCGATTTCAATTTCATCAGTATTGGAAACATGGTATAAGAAAATATAACTTTGCACTTATTTTTTTTTATAATACAACCCTTTTTAGTTCACGGACAACAAAAGGACAAAAAAAACATCATCCAGGTTTACTTCTGTGTACATTTTAATTGTACACAACAGTGCTTTCATGAAAAGGAATTCAGTAGAATGTGAATCAGTTCTGAAGTCAAAGAATTCAAGGTTGGAAATAAGTTTGTTACTTCCTCATGTCCCATGTAGATTCTGATGCATGTTCTGAAGCTTACACAGCTTGGCTCTTTATCTACCTTTATATTGATTCTTGCAATTTATCTTTATATGCAAGGACACCATTGCAAAATCTACTCCTGCTACGTCGTGTACAGTGTACCACAATGAAAATCAATATGTAAAAATTCAAAGATAAGACGCTACTGAACGAGAGTTTTCGTGATGTCACAATAGATCATTTATTTTGTTGGGGGACGGGGGAGTTTTAATACTATAAAAGCTTTTCAGTTCATTAAGTTTACCATCAGCAACGAAATTCACATGAAGTCACCACCTCATGTATAATAAATATCATCTAACATCTCGTTTATACGTTTTCGCGTAACTAGAATATTTTTTTCGTATAGATGCTTTATAAATGTCAAGTATGGAAGAAAAAGTTAATTTAAAATATAGCTACGTTACTCTCGGAGAGTTTAACAAAAAATCAGATGCCATTCACACGAATTCTGCATTACTTACACTATCGTGTTACTTTAATAAAATAGGTATAATATATCAAATTATTATTTGCTAACCAGGCATAAATTCTTACAATAACGGTAGACTTAAGAAGATTACAGAATTACTTAAATGCATTCACAGAGAAATATCCCTTTACGTTTATCTCAGCTCCAGCCATATTGTGAATTTGATTTAGAAAGTTAAAAAACTTCCAACATATTACAACGTAAGCTACAATTCGCACTTTACCATGAAACGACACATTTCCAAACGTTTTGCTCCGTTTTACTTATTTTTGTAAAAACAAAAGTCGCTGCTGTAACATTCACTATACGCTATATAAATGATTTGATGAAAATATTACCTCTTACGCACAAATAAATCCCCAACTCGTGAGCCAAACATTTCCATCACCATGGTGACCAAAGTCCTCTTCCGGGGCCGCGCGCGCAAGAGGTGGAGTTTTTCCAGGTTTGTGCACGTGGGAAGGGCGCGAGCGAGCCGTGCTGCTTTTCAGAATTACAAAGAATTGTTTGTGGTCATTATTGATTTGTGAACTGCTGCTTTGGTAACTAAGTTGAGTTAATGGATTTTGTTTTTCCAAGTTGGCCTAAATAATTACCTTCAGGTGCACATGGGTTTTGAAATCCAGGTTGGTTTAAGATCGATGTTAAAGCATCGTGATGAAGTAGATGTTGATAGTGAAGCCTGAGATTGATAAACTGGTTTCATCCAGGTACCGTAGAGTCTTGTGTACCTCCACATTTGCCTATTTTACATATGCACACCCAAGTAAAAGAAATGGGGCTGATGGAGGATTGGAAGAGCTCAATGGAAAACTATTTCCAAACTAAAAACTATTACAGTTTTCCATTAGGGAAGGTATGGGGGTTACTGTTGTTCGCTCGATAATATCACCTTTTAAAGTTTTAGAAATCTACACATATTATATTGTTATTCTATACGGATATTTATTTATATGGGTGGGTAGCTGCGTCAGCATGCGTGGCCTGCAAAGGAACAAGTAATAGGTTTATTCCATGCTGAAAAGAAAGAGAACACAACGTTTCGGCCGTGGAGCCTTCTTCAGGTGTATTTATTTATATACTAAGGACTTTAAACCACAGTACAACCACACATTTCTGTCCAGTGGCCAGCGGCCTTCGTCATTGTCATCGGAGAACTGTGCCAAGGTTAGAGAATTTCACCTTCTAACTGCGAATTGATTTTTCATTTAGTAATACTTTCATGTCATTTTCATTTACCATCAACATGTTCCCTCTGAATTCCAAAGGAACTTTTTTACGCAATTCTTACTGTCGCTGGGTAAATATCGTTATCAGGGTTAGATTCAGATATTAAAAACCGAAAACTTCTGACTATATATATTAATTACTATTACAATTACTATTTTTACTGACTTTTAAAGTATATTTCTTCGCACTAAGGCCCAGGAAAATGTTGGGAGTATCTTTACACTTACGTTACTTTTTAGAAAAGAATTTCTCTAGTACCACCGCTATTTCCAAAACAAATGTAAAACATTCTCACAACCTCCAAAGGACCTTCGTAGAACAATTCAAGGCGCTCAGAAACACGTTAATGTCTTTTTATACAGATTAATCATAACCACCGTAGTTTCGTTGGCGTTCTGTGGTTTCCGTGGTCGCACATCCTGGCGTTAGGCGAGGCCATTACACGCAACAGTGAATGTTTATCCAGATTTTGAGGCGGTTATGTTACAACTAAACTCTAGGAGGTTCCAATGCTATGTGTTCCAGGTAGCGCTGTATATAATGTAGATAACTTTGTTCATAATGATTTGTGTAATCATAATCCTCATGGATTCTAAAGAGCAATACAATTAATGGTCAACTGGATTAACTGGATGGCACCCACACGGGTAATAAACCCCCCCACCCCACAGCATGGACTTTTAATAGGAGGATCGTGTACAACAGTAGGCGCTGTCTTTGTTCCACTCAAAACAAAACAATCGGAAAAACACGAAGAACTAATGGACTTCGGCTCAACCTGCCGCGCTCGTGCCTGCGTCGGCGCGCGCGCGCGCGTGTGTGTGTGTGCTCGGGCTCGCGCTCGGAGCAGGGTTCGGACGCGAGGACTTTGCTCGCGGCGATAAGTTTCCACCCCGGAGCTGTGATTTAGTAATCACCCTGTCACCCGCGGCGTGAACTTGGGCTCCGGCAAAGCGTGCGCCGAGCCGCTCCGTGTGGCAGCGCATCGCGTCTCCTGAAGACCCCCGCAGTCACAGCCCTCTATTCTCGTGCTCCAAGAGTTTGGATGTTTGTCTGGGGAGAAAAAAATGGACCCAATCTGATCAGATATGCTTTCTAAACGCATTATAATACGAGATTAAAAAAGAAAACAGGCACCCGCATAACACGTACTGTGGGATATTTGGGACCCATCAGCAGGTGAATGGAGCGTGGAGACCTATGGATGGAATAAAACGCAGTTTGCAATATTTAAGATAACTTTCACAATGCGGGAACTTTTCTTTCTCGTTTTACTACAGATCTGCGGCCAGGTAAGCGATCTTTTACCATAAGAGATTCGTATTTTTTCGACCGTGAAGAAGAACGTAAATGACTAATATGTGATAGACTAGTAAGCGGTTCGTTATTATTTAATTAGTGAATATGGGATTTCAATTCAAATCCTTAAAATGTTTGAATTGTTGAAAATATATTGGCGTATACGGAGCACTTTTGAATAAATTGCATAGCTCATGGATATGCATTTGATCAAATCAGTTGTGTAATGGCATATTCTTGAATATCGGCTATTCCGTGTACAGTATATATACCGTATCAGTTAATGAGTACCATATTTCTACAGTAAATGCTGGCATATATCGTGACATATTGTATATGCCCAGGAAAGTTTGCAACATAGCACTAAGAGTTAATGATTTATAAAAAAGCTATTTCAATTTAATACGGTTTGTAAAGAGATAAAAATAACTTCCCGAGGTGTTGATGTTTGAAGGTCGAGGCTGTTCCCCCGGAATGTGATGCGCACTTGATTCTCCTGAAGGAAGAGGAGAGCTGCTACGATTTACTTCATCGGCTGAGACAGAATCTATCAGATGTCGGGTCCAATCGGACAGGTACTGTTAAAAGACAAGGACAGGAAAGAAAAAAAAAACCCGAGAAAATACCGGGAGGTTATTTAGCAAGCGCGATCCAAGTGTGCTCAAAATAGTTCCTCAAAGAACCAGGTCGATCAAAGGCTGTGAACTCGGGTCCGATAACGGGTGATATTCACGGTTCTATCGGACTGAAGACCGGAAAATTATTTTCCTGTTCACATCAGAATGGCCCAAAGGATTTTCAATTATTTAACGCGTGTTATCGATTCTTAATCAGTAACTTTCACTTCAGTTTTCAGCGATGGATGCTCATCTCTGCTACCTCAGTTCAGACAAGGGTATCCAGTGTGCCTATAGGTCAATGCAACTTAAGCTCATTTAGCTTAATGAGCTAAGTTAGCTGGTTACTGGCTTATTTATCCCAGTGAAACAGCTGCCCCAGCTCTTTGGGTGCTGCTGCTTTGAAGAGCCCTGGAGGTCTTTTGAAACGGGACGGGACCACCTTGGTCTTGGTCTGCTGTCGATCTGCTCGATTCTGACCGACACTCCCAGGAGCGAGTCTCCCATTCTCGCGCTCTGTAGTGTTGTGAACCCGGGACTTTTCTGCACGTTGCCGAAAGTGTCTGTTTTCATGTACACCCTGACATTTGTTTCAGTGGGGTCCAGAAAGATCCGAATGAAAAAGAGAAAGACTGATCGAAGTAACCAGCGCGTGCACTGGGAAGAAGGGGATATATTCACAAGTCCGTCCACTGCCCAGTGCTTTTCAGTGCAGTGTGCTCTACAACACCGGCCTTTTCTCATCAGCAGGCCTGTGAGGGGTTTGGTCTGAATCACACTCCCCTTCGAGGCCACACACTCACCTGGTCGCAAGGCTCTCTGGTCACTGTGAAAGGTGTTCAGTATCGACAGCATAACACCTCAAACCACTTCCCCCCTCTTCTGATCTCTCTGGACTCAGAGTTATTGAGCACATTTCCCGCAAATCTGGTTAACTTGACCCAGATGTGTTGAGGTACATTTTGTACATTTAATTTAGAAACGATTCTGCCTTTTGCACATCAGCTACCTGATTGACACCTGTCTGATAATCCTGGTATTCATCAGCTCAGCGCCAAAACTGAAAATCTTTGTAAGGCTTTCAGACTTTGGCCTTTTACCAGATGTGAGGCTTGAAATCATTTTATTTTATTTACCTAAAATTTAGCAGGATTTAGAATTCAAGAAACACCTTGCTGTTGTAGTAGTTATTTCTACAAGGATGATACACTAGCACCATCCAGTGGTGTTACACCTAAAACCTCACTGTGAAGTTTCCCACATTTCAGAAAACAGGCTGCTCCCTATATTTCTGCCTAAAGTAGGGAAATCAGCTGCGATGGCAAACAGACAGTGACAGCTGGAATGATTTAGTACTTGCCTGTATAAGCTGTTGTATTTACACTGTCCTTGTAACTATGTACTTTCCAGATGCTTGTGTTACCTGAAGGCCATTAATATTAACAGCCCTGTTAGCACTGTAGTATGGGGAGGTCCATTGTTTGTTGTGAGCTAATTGCATTGTGTTCATAATTTAAACTATACTATAACACAATATAATGTATTATAATAAAGAACAGGAAAAAACGCATGAACGCACTGTAAAGGAGCTAAAGAACAAGACTGTTCTTACTGCTGTTATTCTAACAGTTTCGAATGCCCAGAACGGTTCGTTGTTTAAGATGGCTGTGTTTTCCATGGAGTCTGTGAAGGGATGTGGGACTCCCAGGGGTGCTGGTATCCTGCTGTTGCCGGGGAGACTGTGGCTGTTTCCTGTCCTGAGCTGCTCATCACCCTGACCGGGGTCACAGGTAAATGATGGGCCGAGCTTGGTCGTTTCGATTGGTGCAGGTCAGACCAGGTGTGGGCCCCCTGGACTTCCAGTGCTCTATCCTGCAGGATTAGGAGGCACTTTCCAGTTAACACCTGATTACGACCTGGAACACACAGCTGACGGGGGTGCTTAATTGGTTCAATTAACTCATTAAGGTCCAAGGTGGCGTGAAAAAACACAAAAAAACTCTTAAGACCTCCGGACCAGAGTAGCCAACATGAGAGTTATCGCAAATAAAGCATAAATCTTTTGTTCTTTATTTTTCTCAAATGTGAAATCGCCAGCGTCTATGTTTTTATGGTCATTTGCTTTTTTTCTGTCTGTGCTCTGACCGAACCCCTTTGCTCGAGCCCTTCTCAAGATTGTGTTGTGTCTCCTCTCTTTCTTTCTTCCCACCTCCAAACTGTTTCCCTCGCGTGTCCATTTTTAGTCCCCACGAGTCACTTCTTTCTCAATCCTCGAAGCATTCTGTCTTTTTGAATTGGGATTGTTCTCTGCATTCCTTTTATACTGTGGGTATGATGTGCTGTTTTTTTTTATTCTAAAACCATCTGAAGTCCAAAAGCTTGTGCCAACAGAACAAGTTTTCTATTCTGCTGTGCAACGTTATTCTACAATGGCTTCAGTGAGTATTTGTGAAGGCAGTGCCCATGCACTACACAGCTCATTTCGGTGTTATTAAACTACTGCCATTACTTCATCGATTTCCACTCCCCTTATCTGACGTCTTCTTGATTTTCCATTTGGTTCTTTAAGTTCACAGCGCCCACCTGGTTTACAAATATGCATTTCGACCCTTCATTGACTCCAGCTGTTGGTCTGACTCTCACGCGCTCCCACCAGCTCAGAATCTTGAGTAGAAAGATCCGATACGAGGGACGGAGGATGAAAGGATGCGTTTTCGGACACTCAGATTTAATTGGAGAGGGTATGTCCCCGATTTTCGGGGTGCTGCCTGTCAAAGGGTAGCGGATCATTAGTGTTGCCTTGTTGTGTTACAGGATGGGTTTATAGGAACTGCACCTCGGAAGGCTGGTCACATTCCTTTCCGGAACATCACGTCGCCTGTGGATACGATAGCAACGTCTCTGGAATTACTACCGAAGTACGTGGAGAGTCTAGCTGTGTTGTCGCTTCCCGTTGTTGTTTCTCGTTTGCGTCAGTATGTGCAGTGGGTGGCTCCTGCCTGAGCAGCCGAGATGAGGACGGTGCGCGCAGGATCCCTTTCGTTTTGTGAGGAGCAGGAATCCCGGTTTCAGGGATACAAGCTGGTGGGAAGAGCCTTCCGCAAGAGCCAGAGGAAGCGCGTCTTAGCCAGGGTGTGAAAATCGCCCAGCGCCCAGCTGGTTTACAAAAAAACGCCTCGTCCCCTTGTGGATCCCAGCCACTGGAGTCAGTGTCCCTCTCGGAGCTCAGAGTCTGGTATAGAAAGGCAGAAGGCACAGTGAGGAGGAGGTGTGGAGCGCTAGACTCCTCTTGAATCGGATCTGGACCGATTCCAGCTCTTCAGCGGCGGAACGAGAGGAATGATGGGGCCCATGTGGGAGCTCAAATGTACTTCCTGAGTATTCGAACTCAGCTGAGAAGTGAGGATAGTTCAGGAGCCTCTGATTCACAAAGGGTTTCAAGGGATAAAGAGCGCTGTGGCACTTTAGACTTGAGCTGCCCATATTGGCAGCGCCTGAAGACTCGGGCGCTGATCGTGTTGTGTTTGAGAGCTATAGCAGAACGTTCTGAACACTTAGATGGTACTTTACACCTAATCCTCTATAACAGTGAAATAAAGAACAGATTGGTCACAAGAGCCCCGTTTATAAAGACAGTATGCATTTACTACTGTATATATGGTGTAACTACCTGTATCCGTTTTATCCAGAAATTCCTAAAAGCTCAGGAGGCCAATAAAAAAAAAGAGAACACAACAATGCACTTTTTGAGTTTCAAGTTTAGTAAACACTGGTATGTCTGAATGGCCGGGCTATGAAAATACTGTAGGTTAAGGTGTCATCATGCAGCTGAAGATCTTGTTCTTTCTCTGCAGACAGGACATTACTTCAAGTATATGAAGATCATGTACTCTGTGGGCTACGGCTTATCTCTTGTCTCCCTGATCATAGCAATTGGCATCCTCTGTTTTTTTAGGTAAGAAACCTTTCATTTTTAAAACTACTCCAGTACCATGCAGTAAAATGAGCTGTGTATTTCTGTATGTATAGCTGGCCCTGTCATGCTGTTCTCCAAGTAGAACAGCTACACACTGAATACTGGTGTTGAAAAGACCTTTGTGGAGTTCTGTTTAGCACTGCTGCCTCAGAATGCTCCAGTCCCAGGTTCAGCTCTGGGCTCCGCTGGCTTTGGTTAAACACATTTGCTTAAAATGTCTTTTCATTTTAAATAACACTTTGTCAGGTGGATATTAAGGGAGATGATTCCCTGCTCAAGTTGAGTCCCATACTCTAAAGGTTTGATGCTTCCCAAGCTCGTGTAAAAGACTGACTGCCTTGCAATTGCGGGAGCAGGCTGAGGAGTTGAGTGTAGAAAATGCAGAGCAGTTTTCTCTGGTTATTTAAGGATACTTCTCTGTGCCTTTGTTTTAGGAAACTCCACTGCACACGGAATTACATCCACATCCAGCTCTTCACGTCCTTCATTCTCCGTGCCTTGTCGGTCTTTGTCCGGGATGCTGTTCTCTTTTCTAATAATGACATTTATCATTGCAACGTCTACCCGGTAACTATAATTTGCTTGGGAACTGTGGCATTGAGCCAGTGTAGGGACAGTACATTGCCTTATTTACTTTGATAGTCCCAGATGGGAAATATGCTTTGCAGGCAGGTAAAAGACACAGCACAATACGCAGTGCATGTAACACAATGTGAACCCATTAAAAATAAGAGACATACATGTACGATGAGAAAAAAAATATATACATAAAGTAAAATATGCAATCAGTTGTCCACATTACAACCGAGGTTAATAGCCAGGGGAATCAAAGATAACTTAGTCCTATTTCATCTGAATCTAGGCAGTCTAAATCAACGCCCAGAGTGAAGAGGTTCAGATTCACTGTGCAGAGGGTGGTCATGACAGTCCATGATTCTGCTGGCCTTCTGCGCTGTTTGTCTGCACCTGTTGTCACCTGTGGCCCTGGTGCTGTTGCTTCCCTTAGGTCGGGTGCAAGATGGTGATGGTCTTCTGCCACTACTGCATCATGGCCAACTACAGCTGGCTGCTGGTCGAGGGTCTGTACCTCCACACCCTGTTGAACGTGTCGTTCTTCTCGGAGAGGAAGTTTTACTGGTGCTATCTAGGTCTCGGCTGGGGTACGTTCCTTTTTCTTCGTTCGATTTTTTTTTAGTTTTTTTGAACGCGTCCACAACAAACGGGGCGAGGCGCCGGGGGCGTCGGCCGCTGGAGCAGGCGCGATGGCGCAGGCGAACGGTGGCTGGGTGTGAAGAGCCTGTATGGGTTTGGACAAACCCACGCCCAGTGGCTGCCTCGGAGATGACACTCACCGTGTTAATCGAGTCAGCCACTGTTTGCTCGCATTTTGGGAACAGTTTGTTTGAGGAGAAGAATGAGCATGTTACCTGTATCCGAGTAAATTAACAAACCTTTCAGTGTTTTGTCTCGGCAGGGCATGTTTGTCCTTGCACTGAATCTTAATTTTCTTTTCTTCTTTTTCAGGTTCGCCGATGTTTTTTACGATCGCCTGGTCTGTTGCCAAGATGCTATATGAAGATATAGGGTACAGTATTGTCAAAGTCTTTCCAGTCTTTCTGTGATGTACGGTTACCAGTATATCTTGGAATTATGCCTGCTAGGATACGGAACTGTGTGCTGTGTCAAATTGTTCCTCTTTGTTTTTGCTGTATCCTTCGCTGCAGTAACGCTCTCTTTCTTTCTGCATGTGAAGGTGCTGGAACAGCAGCCATAACACCACCATCCGATGGGTCATTAGGGGCCCTGTCATTACATCCATATTGGTAAGCCCAAACTATTTAACTATTTAAGATTGTGACAAGTGAAAGTGGTGCAAACGATAATCTGACAGAACTGTGGACGACGAGCCCCAGGTATTCATATCAATGCAGAACTGCTGCCATTGTAGCTGTTTTTTCACAGCCGTGGGGACATGTCAGCACTGTGCGTCGTTTCTGACTTTTGCCTTTGAAGTAGAGCCGGAACACTGGGTTCCTTTTTGTTTTTCAGCGTAGAATTCAAACTTTCTTTGTTCCTCATTAGGTGTGTCATATACATGTGCAGTTTTACCAAAATCTAAAGCCAGGTATAGGTGTTTGGGTGGTGCTCAATAATAAGATTGGTCTTTTTTTTTTTCCAGATCAACTTTCTGTTTTTTATTAGTATTTTAAGAATACTAATGCTCAAACTGAAGACTCCAAATGTCGGGGGAAATGATTTAAATCAGTACAAGTGAGTTCATCAAACTTTCTCTATAGAATTATTTGGTCGCAACAGTCCATACTTAAACTTTCTTCTTTAATAATGGTTGATGTTTGTTATGGTTCTAAATTTTATGGGCAAAAATCCTGAATACATTTTGTCAGAACGTATATTTGCAACAGATTCTTTTCTGTGTAGATTTTACACTAATGAGTTAAAAAAAGTGTCAACATGACAAAATGGCTCAGGATCATCATCAAACCGATGTTTTTGGCACTTATCCTTTTTGTAGAAAAGAAGACCTTTAACAAAAGGAAAATCTGTTATTTTGGTTTGTTCAGATTTCAAGTTTCTGTCTTGATCAGCCAAACCCTAACCCTAACCCAAACACCCAGCCCACTGGTTATGATTCTCTTTCTGACAAGTCTTTGTGATCTGACAGCTTCTTCCTTCAGATGATTAAAACAACCAGGAAACTGCTAAAAGATAAACAGCCAAGAGCTAAAACATCATTCTCTGTGTCAGATATGTCGCGCTGACCCCCAGAGCACCCATGCAGACTCTGATCTGAGATTATTCCAGCTTTGTGTGTTGTATAATAATTGCAGTGCAAGATGATCTGAAACCTGGAAGCTCTCC